AGAGAGAGAGAGAGAGAGAGAGAGAGAGAGATTGTGTTCTCACTAACTGAAGCAGTGTATTTAATGCTTCTGCATCACCAATTACAATTATATGTCCTACACAGTAACTTGACCTGAAACAAAACCATCTATGCCTGACCTATAACACAACCTCTGTGATTAACCTGTTTTTGGTCTGTTAATAATGTGTGCTTTGATCTCTTTGATATATAACTACAAAAGATTTTCTGACATTATTATATTTTATATAGCCACAAAAAAATCTGTACTAAGGTCAAGAATTGTTCAATTACTTTGTTATTTGATTTTAGTGAGTTGTAAACCTGAGATATCTGATAAAGCTCTTTACATATCTCACTGTATCGTATACCGCAGTTGAAATTTTATGTATTTGCCAGAGTTACAAAAAATAATGGGTTCTTTATCCTGTATCAGCTATAATTTTGGCATGTATTATTTTCTTAGAGTAATTAGTTCAGCTATAATTCCTGTATCAGCAATATCATTTTATTTTTTACTCTTAGAGTAATTAATTCAAGTGTAACTCGAGGCAAAAAAAAATAAGTTAATAAATATGTAACTATTTTACTTGGTAGCTTTATTGACATTTTTCCTTAATAAGTTGGTTTTTTTGGTCACTCATAGATACAATAATATTTTAATGATTCAGGCAGGTTCACGAGATTTACCATAATTAGTCAATCATTTAACATCAAATAACAATCAAAATAAATTTGGTTCTCTTTTTTCGTTATCGTGTACATAAATTAAAATTGGAATATAATATTTCCATATAGAGGAGCTATTTAATTCCTGTGTTTGTGCTCGTTGACACGTCGTTTTGTTGGTGGTCGCGTCCGGCACGATCTCCGAAACCTTTCCATACCGGCCGACACGGAGTCGAGACAGAAAAGAGGGGGCTAACTCGTGGTCGAGATCTTCCGACATCATGTGGGTCCCACGGTGGTCACTGGGTACCGATCAAACCGCGGGACCCTTTTATTGCGGACCAAAGCCCTCGCGCCACCGCCTCGCTTTAATTTTCGCGTACCGATCTGTATATGGACGTCGTCGAATCGGACTCGGACGGTCTTGATTCTCCGTCCGAGTTGGGAATCCAAGAACCATAAAATACCCAAAATGCCCCCGATGTTACGACTCCGTGGCTATATAGATGGAGTCCTTATTGGTCATTTGACGTGGATTACAAATTGAAAGGGGATACCACTTTGCGAGATTTCTCCACCTGTGTCTCTCGTCTCTTCGGAGGGATACCACTTTGCGAGATTTCTCCGCCTCTTTCTCTCGTCTCTTCGCAGTGCCATCTCGAGAACCGCTCCCCAATCGCGCCTGATCGCTTAGGGTTTTTCCCAAAACCCCCTCGTTTCGATATGCCCAAGCCCTCGACCCGAGCGGCGGAGCACGATCGGATGACGGACAGCGCCGCCCCGACCAGCCCGGCCCCGGCCCCGGGCGTGGGGCCGATCGGGCACAGCGTGATCCCGATCGTGAACAAGCTTCAGGACATCTTCGCCCAACTTGGGAGCTCCTCCACCATGGACCTCCCCCAGGTGGCTGTTGTCGGAAGCCAGAGCAGCGGCAAGTCCAGCGTCCTCGAGGCCCTTGTCGGCCGCGACTTCCTTCCCCGGGGCACCGACATCTGCACCCGGAGACCGCTGGTGCTGCAGTTAATTCACCTGCCGCGGCGGTCGGAGGACGGCGGTGCGGAGTGGGGGGAGTTCCGCCACCTGGAAGGCCAGAGGTTCTATGACTTCTCGGAGATCCGCCGCGAGATCCAGGTGAGTGGTGCTTTTGATTCTTTGTCTTAGGGTTTTCGTTTGGTTGTATATCTTCTCTTATCTTTTTGATAATATTCTAGTCAACTTCTTTGTAATTATTTAGGGTTCCTTATAAATCAGAATCTTATGCTTTTTTTTTTCTTTTCTACTGTTATGCTAATAACAATACCTCCTTGTCTGCACAACAACGTCGAATACTGGATTTATTATATCAAATATCTTTGTTAGCAAGGTAAGGGGAATTACGAACAAAATAAACTAATGTAGTGATACTGGACCACTGGTGATGGTGATTGAGATTTAGTTGTGTCATTCTAAGATGGTAAATTCAATGTCACGAGGCCATGATAATAGAGTATAATTTCTACTTAATATATATCGATGTTTGGTTGTCTTATCATTCTCAATGTTTATTGTGTACTGAAAAATGTTAGTCATGTGTTATTATTTTGACAAGGCTCTTTTCCAACATTTTGGTTGTAGGTAGGGAAGATCTTTCTGGTGGCCTTTTATACAATGTTTATGCTCTCTAGTTTTTTCTTCTACCAATCTTATGAGATCTTTCTGCTCCTTCATTGAGGATGTGTGCAGGCACCGTGGATCTTGATTATTGCCTTAACTCACTTTTGACTAAAAATTTCCCGTATTGGGGGTATTCCTTGGACATAGACATGACATGTATCTAATGTGGGTCATGTCTAGCTTCTAATGCAACATGGAAGCCGAGGAGGACAGAGTGCACTAACTTTAGATTTTATATATATTGTTTTTTTTTTCCAATAAGATGTGAACTTTTACACCCCAAGAACCAAAAAGTGAAAAAAAAAAATCCACCTCTTTTACTTGACATTGAGGGTGTGACCTAATAGCACTTTATGGTTGCTCCTTTGTCACCTGAGTGACCAAATTTGTAGTCATATAATACATGATGTAGAGATAAGGTTATATACATTAACCCTCCAAAACCTGCATTGGTGGGAGGATCATGCTTTGGTCTGCCCATTATCTTTACTTTATTGTTCATGTTCTTGTTATCTGTATACTAATTGTTAGCAAAGTGTTTGTTTGCTGTGATGTGTGGTCCAGGTAATATTACACGTATGAATGATTCTAATAACTACCACATAAGCCATCTGACTTGCAAGTAAGCATTATCGGAGTGTAATTATTGTTCTACCAAATATCAATTGCAGGCTGAAACAGATAGAGAAGCAGGAAAAAACAAGGGTGTTTCATATAATCAAATTTGTTTGAAGATTTTTTCTCCTAATGTTCTGAACATCACTCTTGTTGACTTGCCTGGAATAACTAAAGTGCCAGTTGGTGACCAGCCAAGAGATATTGAAGCCAGTATTAGAACGATGATTTTGTCATACATAAAGCATAAGAGTTGCATTATTTTAGCAGTTTCACCAGCGAATGCAGATTTGGCAAATTCTGATGCACTTCAAATGGCTAGAATTGCTGATCCAGATGGTAAGATTGCCAAAATTCTCATTATCTTTTGCCTGCAAGGTACTTGATTAGTGGCAGAAGGATAAACAATTTACTTTTGCATGGAAATCATATTAACTAAAATGATATATTTTGTTGGCAGGTTCTCGAACAATTGGTGTTATTACTAAGGTCTTGTTTGTGAATTTTCTCACATAATTATTTGTGCTAGTCCATTGACATTGGTCAGGTGAAACTAATTATCTTCCTACTGTTACAGTTGGATATAATGGATAGAGGTACTGATGCACGTAACTTTCTACTGGGGAAGGTGATTCCATTGAAACTTGGATATGTGGGAGTAGTCAACCGTAGTCAAGAGGTGCTTCATCTTTTTAATCAATAATTTTTTCTGTGAGATAAATTTGTTCAGCTTAGGTGGAGTATCATTTCCTTACATTTTGGAAATAGGCATTCTACATGTATGCTTTCTTCCTTTTAGAATTTGTAGTGTACTGCTTGAAGCACCAGTGTAGGTGAATAAAGTGCTTGTGATAGGTTGGCAGGAAGCTTTTTGGAATTGGGCAATTTCTCAGCTTATAAAAGTCCACTTATCAATATTTTCCAACCAATTTCATTTTATTTACCAGCAAATTGCTATAGACCAAAACATGAAAACTTTTCTTTTCCCCGAACCTTGTTGCTACTCATCTGTGCTTGCCCTCATACAAAACAAGTTTTGATTCAAGTTCATAAGATCCTCCCTGTTCAAGAGTCAAGGTTGATATGTGTTTGAATTTTAGCTACTTGTTCTTTCATTATTTTTGAATTAATTTTTTTTTGCAAATTGAGTGCATTTTATCAAAAATTCTCGTCTTTGTTTGTCTTTTTTTACTCTTCTCAGCAATTTTTTCCCTAATCCCTTAGCCTTATCATCCTATAGGTTGTCCTAGGCCAATTCTTTTCTTTATTTTCTATTATTTTATTCAGCAATATTTGATGGTATACGCTGTTATGCCAGAATTATCGGCACAGTACCAGTCTAATTGGTGACTTAAAGTAGTATCGGATTGAGATTTAGATTCTTGGATAGACGATACAAGAAACTTCCCATCTTAGTACGGTATGAAGCTTCAGCTTCAACGATGAATCTCAAGTTTGTGAATGTCATCTATGACCAAACGAGGGGCTTAATCCAAGAAAAATGGCAACAAAATTCTCATTGATATTTTGCACAATTAAGACCTTACGATGCATCTAATCACCTCAGAAAAACCATAAAAAATCTAACTTCTGTTTGTAGGAATTCAAAATGAACTTAAAAGAAATTGTGCTCATGATAATGCAGATTAAGTTAATACTTATTTTGCATTTGATGGGAATGATGTTAATGTTCATAGGGAGAGCTTAATTTTGTGTGTAAGTTTAATTTTTGCTAGTTGGTTCCTTAACTATAGGATACAATTTAAACACTTGCCTATTCATTATGCAGGACATTGACAACAACCGTAGTATCATAGATGCATTGGCTTCTGAAGAGCGTTTCTTCCGCAATCAGCCCGTACACTTTCTTGCCGAACTCTGTTGGTCTTTCCTAATTATTCATTTGTTACAGGGCTATTATAACTGTTATGTTCTGCTGCAGGCATATCAGGATCTTTCTCATTGTTGTGGGGTCCCTCAGTTAGCTAAGAAATTGAATCAGGTAAATGTCATAAATTTTGGTTGTTGTGGACACCCACAAGTAGCCAATAATTTTTTTGTGGCCTTTTGTCAAACAGACAATTCTTATAGAAAAGCAGTTATGGATTATATCAAGGCTATTATGATGATGCCTTTTTGTATCTTCTTTTTTCCCCCTTCTTGAGTGTACTTATGATCTCTTGTTGGTTCTTTGACTTGTCAATCCTAAAACTTATGTGGTTTATTATGTCTGCAGATTTTAGTACAACATATCATGAATGTCCTTCCAGGGCTGAAGTCTTGTATAAATGCTCAACTGGTGGCTGTGGCTAAGGAGTATGCTGCCTATGGTGACGTAGTAGAATCAAAGGTATACCTTTCATGTTTGTTGTGTGTTGTGCAACATAATTCAATAGTAAGGAAGGAATCATCTTACTGACTCCAAAGAGTCATGATCCTATGGCTTTAAATTCATAGTTTACTGACATCACATTACAGTACATACATCTATGCTGATGTAGGAGTTGATTATGGGCATGATTTCTTGCTTTTAAGTTTGTGTTATATTTGTTTTTCTCCCTATTTTCCTTGGTTTCTCTTTCCGTTGTATTGTTGTTGTTCAAAACATTCTCTTTCAACACCAGACATATATTGGCCCTTGCCATTTTAAATTTAAGCCATCGCTGTTATATGCTATTGCAGACAAACATGGTTTTTAAGCTAACGCTGCCTAAATTTGTTGATGTGATGAGTCCCTCAGTGGGCTTTTCTTGTCTTTCATCGGAGAACTGTATTTGGTGAAATTTGCTTTTCATTTTTATTTTATGCAGTGAAGTGGGGACATTAAATTTCTTGGAGCTTAGGCTTGAAGTAGATGCCTTTGCTAAATAAGATGATCATAGCATGACAACTTGTGAAGTACATGAATAAGCCTAAGAAAAAGTTCCAAGTGATACCTTAATTGAGGTGTTGGAAGCTTGCAGTTAAGTAGTGGTAGTGTAAAGGAAGATTTGTTAAGGCATAAGTGATGATAAGGATGATCAACCACGTAGAATCTGCTCTTCATTTTAAGTTCTTTTCCCTAGAGAATGGAGGTTGTCACTGCTCCACTCGAGTAATTGTAACTTGACCTCTTGCATCACATAAATAAATCTCATGGCTAGGAATAAAGAGAATGTTCATAAAAGAAGTGCATGTAACATTATGAAGCTGCACCTCTTTGGTGCAGGGCTATTGAGAGATCTCACATTATATGCACCTAAGGGGAACCTGACCGAAGTCTGTAGGCCTTGACCGAAGTGCATGCAACATTATGGGTTTTTCTGTATCTTGCTTTTATAATTTAATTCTAATGCATTTCACTTCAGTTGTTTGTATAGTTTTCCCAACTTATGCATTTGGTGGATGCTTCTTCTCAGGATGGAAAGGGAGTTTTACTACTGAACATTCTTGCCAAGTATTGTGAAGGTGAGTATGTTTTTGATCACTCTGTTCTTACTATCCCATATTCATATGATCATGCTTTCTGTGTTCGTAGAAGTATTATATTCAGAGGCCAGTTTCTGATGTTTGTGTTCAATTGGAATTAATAGTTTGAGTACCTAATAATTACCTGAGCTTCTGACACCAATCATCTGGGTAATTAGTTTCTTAAATAGATTGCTTTTGTGTTGTATGAGATATTAAGTGTTATGAGGTTTCAGTTTGTTGTAATCTACTGTTTTTTTTTTCTTGAGGTCTACATGTTTGAATGCAATTGGCCATGGGCTGCTGACCAGGTTAGACAGATGATCATGGGATGAGCTGGCAAAAGAAAAATCACAGATCGGCAAAAATACTTAAAATTTAAAAAACATAATAAAAGCAACTCTGTGCTATTAGATCTTTTTGCATTTATATTCTGTGAGATATTTAACTTCAATAAAGGAAATGAGATATAAAAATTTAAAATTTTTATAAAAATAATAACTACTCAAAATTTACCTGGTATAGCAGCATCAAACATAGTGGAGGGCCCACTTTGGCCCTGGTTCCTCTTTGCATCAGGTTATGAAAATCTAAAAATAGCTTCTTTTAGGAGAGTGATTGTGGGATTTCCTTCTGAATCTTATGATGCCACTTTCCTGTCACAGTGTCCACACTCTAAAAGACCAAGAGCTATCCTCTCCATGTTCTTTTCCCTTTTCCTTATCTTGCATGTCGGTGGACAATGATTGTTAACTCATTGTTGAATGGAGGCAGAAGATGAATATGATGACGATGGTGTCAGCCTTTTACCTCTCCTATGCTTTATCTGCTTCACTGCTTTCCTCCCTCCCCTCCTATTGGTGTCACCAGTATCAGACTTCCTCCTACTCTTTTACTTCTCTTGAGGTTGATGAAAACAGTTGGAGTTGGCTAAAATTAGCTGAGTATACCAATTTCAACTAGCTCAACTTGATTTCTGGTGGTAACCTGAATGATAAGCCTGAACTGGTTCACCCTGGTTGGTACCAAAATGGATGAATCTACCTGTCTTGGAAATTGGAATTAGCTGATACAACAAAGTACAAACTCTATTTTCTGTTCTAGTTGTGTGTATACTAGACTTTGTCTGTCTTGCCTATTTCTTTGGCAATTGTTAAAAGTTCTTCTTGCACCTTTTTCTTATTTTAGAATGATTTAGTAATTGTTTTTGTTTCTTTTGTCATGAGCGCATCATGCATATTCTGCAGTGTCATACTTATGATTATTGTTCATTGAAGTTAGTTATGCTGATGTTATGGCCTTCACATGCAGCTTTTTCTTCCATGGTGGAAGGCAAAAATGAACTATCAACGGCTGAGCTTTGTGGCGGAGCACGAATTCATTACATCTTCCAATCAATCTTTGTTAATAGTTTGGAGGTTTACTCTATTACTTTCCTTAAGTTTTGATTCTTTCTTTTTCAAAATTATATGACAGTTTTGTTGTATATTTGTACTGGTAGGATTAGTTTGGTTTGGTTGGAATTATGTCTTTGCTTCTTCTGTGCTTTCTTTTCTAGCTTTGTATTTATGCCATATATAATCTATCAGGAAATTGATCCTTGTGAGGATATAACCGATGAGGATATCCGCTTGGCTATTCAAAATGCTACCGGTCCAAAAAGTGCTTTATTTGTACCAGAGGTACTAAGGCATGATGGCTGTCATATGTTTTTTTGTTGGAAATCAATAAAATTATTCTCAACTAAATAATTTTTTACTTATGATTTTATTTTTAAATCTTAGGTGCCCTTCGAAGTTTTGGTGCGAAGGCAGATAAGTCGTTTGCTAGATCCAAGCCTGCAGTGTGCAAAATTCATTTATGATGAGTTAATAAAGGTAAAGATACTTTAGTCCTGAATTTCAGAATTTATCAGGAAAAAATGTTAGCTGTAATATGTTTTTGTTACCTCATCACTTGTCATTATAACTAATTATCTTATTGTAGATGAGTCACCATTGCCTAGCTAGTGAACTACAGCGTTATCCTGTCCTCCGGAGGAAAATGGATGAGGTGACTAGTGATTTCTTGAGGGATGGCCTTCATCCTGCTGAGACAATGATAACTCATATTATTGAGATGGAGGTACTTTATATGATCCTTTTTGGTGTTGTTGTTTTTGTATGTGTCACTACATATGGTTCCAGATGCCTCAAATATAGTTACAAATATGATCTAAAGTTGATATGGTTTGTTATTCCTGAATAACATCCTTTACTTGTGCAATAATCATTTGGTAAATTCATTAATTTTGACTGTTCATGCCATGTAATATTAAGAACTTGCACTCTTTCTAGTTACTGTTGCCATCTGCTTTTTTTTTGTGCAGTCAGTATTTTATAGAGCATTTCGGGGAAAGAATAATGAAGGAAAAGGATGTTATTTGATGTATAACTTATCTATCCTAAAAAAAATCTTGAAATTGAAACTTCATTTGGTTAAAGTTATGTAAAGTAGATAAAAAAGACGAATCAATTCTTGCCTGAGTTGAGGATTATTGGGTGATAGCTATGAAAAGGAAACTTGGTTCACTTTAACAAGAATCCTTGACAAGCCAGTGAATGTCTGCCTTTTCTGGTCTTTCATTGGATCTTTTTTTATGTTAGCTTTTAAATCTATATGTATTCTCATTGTTGTGGCATATATCAGCAAAGATAAAAGATACTCTCAATTCAACCTCTTTGTATAACATTTAACACTCTAAATGTTGGCTGTGGTTCAGCCTGTTTGGTTGCTGGGGAAAAGTGTGAATAGGGTGAAAGTTTCTTTTCCATGAAAAGTAAAGACTCATATAAGTTGTTCAGACAGTAGGAAAGTGAAACTAAAACCATTTGCTCTCCCTTTTCTTGTGTTTGGATTAGAATGTAGAAAGAGAACTTGCTCGTAGTTTGGAAAGATATGTTGAGAAGACATCAAGGAGGTCTTGGAGAACTTTTATAAACGTTTTTTATTTGGAAAAAAATCCAGAGAAAGCTTTTTTGAAAAAAAAATCTGAAAAGCAATTTTCTAGATCGTTTGCTTTTCCTATCAAAATAAAAATGCTAAAACTTCTCTAGCACACTGTTGTTATCATTTTATGATTTTTTTAATATGGTTCTGACCTGCCATCTTATGCCATTTATATGCTGCTTTTCTATTTCTTAGTACTTCAGTAATTTATTTCCTTTTGGATTAAAAGCTGCATTGCATTGTCTGTGGAGAAAAAGACTGATGTAGCATAATCAATTTGCTGCAGATGGATTATATAAACACTTCGCACCCAAATTTTATCGGCGGAAGTAAGGCTGTAGAAGTTGCCCAGCAGCAAGTAAAATCTTCCAGGCCAGCAGTATCAGTGTCTAAACCTAAGGTACATATTCCTGTCCTGACTCTAAAATTTGGTATCTACATGAAAGTTAAAACTCAAAACTATTCAAGTCTTTTGTTTCACTACGAGTTTCAAGGTATACGAACTCTGCTGAACCAAAGCATTGACTATCATGAACAGAATTTAAGGTTGCCTTAGAGTACTTGTTATTAGGTCTCAAATAAATAATGATTGTGTGTATCTTTCAAACAATAGTGAAAATAAGGGAATAATTAGTTGCTTATGTACTCAGTCAATTTTCTACAGCAGACATGAGCAAACTTAGGACTTCTGCATGGAATCTGAGAATTCCAATTAATTCAGAGAGCTAGACTCTGCACTTGGTAACTCACCTGAATCTGGCTTTGTCTAGAGCTGGTGAATTATGGGCTATTTTTCACCCTGATATAATTGTTGATTGTTAATCAATTTCTGTTCTTTGTGTTAGGATGGAATCGATCCTGATAAACTACAAGCATCTGAAAAGAGTTTAAAGTCACGAGGCATCTTCTCCAGATCTGTTGCAAATGGAGTTATTTCTGATCACCTTCAGGTGCAAATGGAGTTATTCACATGAATTTGTTAGGATAGTGGTTAAGTAGATGTGTCTCATCATTCACTCAAATTCGATATTGTTCTATTTATTCTCTTCTTGATGATGAATAGGGTGTTCGTCCTGCTGTGGACTCCGAGAAACCAGGTTCAACTGGTAAGTTGATATTGTTTAAATGATGATAAATGTGATAATATTATTCCTTGATATATTATGCTTTATAGATATTTGGTTTATATCGATCAGGAAGTATAGGATTGCTCCAATGCTTTTATTCTTTATAGAAGTAGTAAAAATTTATCTTGAAAAGGCAGTAAAAATATCACTCACTCTAATGCGACTGATATAACTGAATGGTGACTTTTTTAGGAGTTGAGGTCCTACCAATTGCTGCTATATCAGTCCTTTCATATGTTTTATTCTGTTTCTTTTTTATTATTGAACACAAACAGTGTTATCATTTTATCTGCATTGTGATTTTGGAATTGGTCAAAGGTGCCACTGGATCAAGTTGGGGTATCTCATCAATTTTTGGTGCTAGCGAGGACCGTCCGTCTGCAAAACAAAATTCAATGAATAAGTCCTATAATGCACCTGTTCAAACATTAGAGCATTCATTCTCAATGATCCAATTGAGAGAGGTAAGGAACATCATGCTAATGATGTATGTATGTTTCTTTGTTACAAAATTGGTTATATGTAGTTGTTAAAAACTGATGTTTCTCATTATTCAGCCACCAATCGTCTTGAAACCCTCAGAGAATCAGACAGAACGAGAGGCTTTGGAGATAGCAATAACAAAGTTATTACTGAAATCATATTATGACATTGTGAGGAAAAATATTGAGGACTCTGTTCCGAAGGCTATTATGCACTTTCTGGTAATGGTCTTATTTTAGCTGGTGTCGATATGTCTATTTTTGGTTGATCTGCAATTTGTTATCCAGAATTCAGGATAATCATTTTTTTTTTCAAGCAGGTCTAATTGTACCTTTGGTATAGAGTTATTGATACAGAAATTTACATTTAACCTGATCTGAAAGCGAGTATCTTTATTTGTTATTTACTTGAAGTATATGTTTGTCATTTGTGTTCAGCATTAACTAACATGGAGAAATGTAGCTGTCTATGTTTACTTGTTTTTCATTTATCAGGAGTGCTTGGTAGTTCCAATAACAACTATGGTGTCTATCTACTACATATCTAGAATCATGACTGTATTTAAAACAATTTCTGAAAATCAATATCAAAATTAGTTCTGTAAGCTTGAAGACCATCAAAAAGTATCTGTGATAGATGAAACCAAAGTGTGTTTAGAGTTTGGACCCTCTTTAAATCTTCCTTACCCCACTTGTTCCTCTTTGTTTGGAAGTTGCGCTTGAAGTATGTCTATGGGGGTATGCATGTATTTATATCATTTGGCTGATGCTTCATGTTTGCTATAACTATGTCATGGATTCATTGTCAACTATTTTAATGGGTTCATATCTTTGTTTTTTGTTCTCTGTATCTGTTAAATGAGACTGACACGAATTTGGACAGATAAGAAGTAAAAAGTATTATTGAGATTAATATGTTGAGATGGATGTGCAGGATTATCAGAAAATATGTACTAAAAAATTGATGGATGTGCAGGATTACCAGAAAATATGTCCAAATTTGTGTCAGTCTCATTTAACAGATACAGAGAACGAAAAACAAAGATATGAACCCATTAAAATAGTTGACAATGAATCCATAATATAGTTATAGCAAACATGAAGCATCAGCCAAATGATATAAGTACATGCATAGGTGACTCCATTTATTGTGTGCCAATCAATAGATGACTCCACTAGGCAAAATAAGCTGACTAGGATGTGTGGATGGGGGGGCCTAACAAATATTTTTCAGAAACAAGAGAAACTTGGCTGCTTTAATTTTGACTGGTAAATTTTCCTTCAACAGAACTCAGGAGCTGGAAAAACACCCACAAAGCTGACCCAAGTAGCTTGGACATTACATCTTGTTAATGTTTGTAGTATGCTACTTACATCAGTAGTTCTTTTTTCTCACTCTTGTATCTAAAGAAAAAAGAAATATTAATACATGTTTATTTTGTGATACTCTTTTGCATTGTCTTTAGGTTTAGATTTCTGTAGTATGTATACTCTTTTCTTATGGGATTAAATGCAGCATTTAAATGATTGGTCCACTGGAATTCAGGTTGATGACAATAACCTACTTCAGGAGACTATTTTCTTGGTTTAGGTTGTATTTCTACAATATAGAATCTGTATCTCACAAATGATACCTTCTGAACTCTTGTCAAAGGTTAATCACACAAAGCGAGAGCTGCATAATGTATTTATCATGCAACTTTACAGGTATTAACGAGATCACTTTTCTTGCTTTGTCAACCTTGTTCCAAGTTTTAATAGCTATCAGATGTGAATTCAAGCTAAAAATTAGCCTGACATGTTGACTGTTTAAATAGCGACGGCAAATTTGATGAGATGCTGAAGGAACCTGATGACATTACTGCCAAAAGGAAGCGTCTGTCTGAAACACTCAGGGTTTTGCAACAGGCCCACAAGGTAGGATCTTCTTCATTCAAGCTGTTGCTTCTAACTTTTTTGGTTATACTCAAGCTTATTATTCACCAAGAACTTATGCTGAATTATCATACCATTATCTTTATTATCTTTTGGGTGACCAGACACTGGACAATATACCACTTGAAGCTGAAAATGTTGAGAAGGGATATAGTCTGGAATCCAACCGGGCCTCCAAAAATTAATGAACTTCCTCCTTTCTATGCAACCGCCAATGACTTAGGCTCATCATATGCACTTCTCCCAGGAATACTAGATCTAGGAGGTCGGCTCATTCAGGGGAGCAACCTTCACCATTATATTGTCAACTCTGTGGCCAATGGATTGGGATCCTATCCTTCTTCAGTCAATGGATGAAGTTTCCCGGATAGCATAGTTATTTTGTGACAGATTAGAGTATAATGCCTATAGTCGGATTGTTCCTGGATCCTAAATTTTATTCTCTAGTGCCAGCCTAGTGGCATCAAGAGTAGCGCAAGTCTGGTTATTATTTTTTTTCGTGTATAGCATACTTGCGATTCTTTTTTCATAATAATATCTTTGTAAAAATCAGTCCATTGAAAACAATATGGCTGCTGGTGGTCGACCAGTGCCAGGTTGTGTTTGCTGCCAACATTTAATTCATTTCAGTCACGATTCTTTTTTCATAATAATATCTTTGTAAAACTCACTCCATTGAAAACAATATGGCTGCTGGTTGTCGACCAGAGACAGGTTGTGTTTGCTGCCAACATTTAATTCATTTCAGTGGCAAAATGTGATTACAGGCATACAAAAAGCTTGACTTGTGTAATGTTATTTTCTTCGTGGTGGTAGAGTTACGTGCTCAATTTTAAGGTGTGATCCGTATGTATAATTCCAATGTGTGGATCTGATTAACCAACAAAGGGATCAAAAAGCATTTGTACAAACTATCTGCATCCCCTTTAGCTCATCATCTACTCGTGAACACACAGGGATCCGACCGATACTTCCATCATGTATGACATGTATCAAAACCTTTTCTTTCCTCTCTCTTTCGAGTGATTGTTCTCCAACCGTAAGCACGTTAGTAGTAGGACGATAGCATTGAAGTCCGCACGGGCATAGTCCTTCACAAACTGAACAGCGAGCTTATCGCTATCGTGGTTCTTGATAGCATCGGACAGAGGCATCACATCCTCGCCGTAGCTGAGCGGCGGCGGCAGGTCGCGCGGTATGTTCGACTTGTTGTGCACCGGCGGACTGCCATGCCCGTGGTAAGCCATGTTCATTTCGTAGTTGTACTTGGTCAGCACTCCCATCTCCGAACGCTGTGAGTCACAACACTGGGAACTCGTGGTGTATGACAAAATGCGGCACCGGATTTTCTACCATCTGTGACCAGTCGGTATGCTGTGTGTTTGCACTAATTATTCATTTCGTGCTTGTTTCTTGTGCCATTGTAGATGATCACAGATTAGTTGGAAGATGTTCTAAATAAGATTTTTCGTGCGCAAAACTCTTCCGTTTGTGAAACCTGCTTCTAGATACCAATGCTGATGAAATATTCTAGTATCATAGTCAAACAACAATCATTATAATTCCAGTGACTTGTCAACTTGAATTATTAGTCAGTAGGATCTAAGGGAAAATGGAATTTATGAAGTTTTATCGGGATGTGGATATTGAAGTTACTATTTATCATCTGTGAGACATGAAAAGTTCTTTTCTTTTCCATTTGGTTCTTATTTTTAGTTCTTCTTTTTTTTCTCTGTTTGGATGTAAATATGGTCACAATATTGGCCCCTAAGAGTTTATGATTCAGATAGCAGATTTTTGGAAACAATTGTGGATATAATGCTACACATTTTCATGTACCCTTCCACATCTCTGATGCATAGAAGTGATGTCAGATCTAGGTGAGTCTAGGTGAGCCAGGAGACTAAGAAACAGTAAATAGATGGAAGAATGGATATAAGTATGAAAAAAAAAAAAACTTCCAGTGGAGAATGTTTTGGATTCATGTGTGAGAAATATGAGGTACTTTTTAGTGGATGTGAGAAATATGAGTAGGTGGTGAAGCAGCTAAATATTCTAAAAGCTTAGGACAACATGGAAACTTGATCAATGGAAGTGGAGGCTATAAATAAATTACTCCCAAGACTAATGAACATAGTGCTATTCCATGGTCAAGGGTGACAACAAGTATACAAGCCCTCAATGATCACAATACTCGATCATTGTTTGATCCTTAGAAAATGGCAAAATAAGTTTAATTTCAAAATACTCAGCATGATAAAGTATTACAAGTGAGGAATCATGCACAATGAATTGAAGCATTAAAAGGTAGTAACAATCATAAAAGTTATTTCAGTTCTCATAGATGTTCTCAATATGCTTCAGATTAATAGAAAATAGGAGTTGAGCAAAGATGACTCTGTGGCCCAATGGATAAGGCGCTGGTCTACGGAACCAGAGATTCTGGGTTCGATCCCCAGCAGAGTCGCATTGTTTCTCATGTTTTATGCATTTTGTTTTTCCTCTCTCTCTCTCTCTCTCTCTCTCTCTCTCTCTCTCTCTCTCTATACATATATATATATAGATAGATAGATAGATATATACTCTTCATCAAACGATGACCACAGAGAACTAAACATTTAGAACTAACACAAGTGAGCTTAAGAACTTTGGCTAACAATTTTGTGAGAAGAGAAGGCAACAGTAATACCATTTCGAGTAGGCATTTCGAGTGCAAATGCAAGCAGATACAAAAACAACAACATAGCATTGCAGATAAAATTATTGCACGAAATTAAAATAGACATCGGATGAGTGTTAACCTCGATACAGTGAAAGGGAGTTTATTGTTATTGTACATGAATCAACCACTGACAAATTGTTTTCGGTCTTATTGACATCGAGTGTATACTCCTTATAGATAACTCCGACATACCTGTAATTGGTGGATGCTTATCGCTTCTTCTCATCGTCATCTTTATGTGTACGAGGAAATTCTTTTTGCTGATACTCTTCGGTTGCGTATATACACATGCGAAAACATTCTCTGATAGAACTGTCTCTTCTAATAGAATATTTATCGCCACCCTGCAAATTTATAAATCCATGGCTCATTTTGTCGCTGGATGTTACCAGAGTTACTCAAGTTGCAGCGACCTCGAATTGTCTGTATCGGTATCATGCGGTGCAGGGACCAGGACTCATCTTCTGCCTCCTGTCATCTAAGCCAAATCTCTGCAGGCTTGGCAAGCAACAATGGCTGGTTTTCCATGTTTTCTCTTTTTGGCCCTTGAGATCTCTCCTCGGTGTCGCCTCACTACTGCAAATGGAACTTACTCCAGACCGAAATGGAGTTGCACTTGATGAATTTACGGGTCGGTCGGTCTTGGTTTTGTATTCATCCAATTTCGCATTGATGTCCACACTCTCTTCAGCAGAATCTGGCACATCGATTTGTTCACTATCCGAGGTCTCATGTAGAAGTTCAGAGAGTTTCTTTTTACCGGTTGGAGATGGTTCGGATTTGAAGTCCGAAAATTTTTCAAACACGAAGCGACTGTCAAATTGATGGGTTAACGGTGAACTTAATTGATGATTTGGGGTGCTGCCGCGTGAAGGAGTGAATTCTGCATTAAAAAGAATAATCCATCATAAATTAGGAGGAAACGACAATATGCATCCTAAGAAATAACTAATGTAGAAGAAATTTACATGTTATGCAATTGAAGAAGAGATCATACCTCCATTTACGCTAAAGAAATCATCTTCACAGTCAGAGTCTAACCATGCTCGTGAATCGAAGAAGATCTCTTCTTTACTGCCTGCTAATCCACAAAATTAGGCATTCATTAAGTAGACTGATAAAGATAGTTTAAACCAATGAAAATGAGGTATTAGAAGTTAAAGAAATCAATCATTCGGATAATAAATATTTAAGAACAGAAACAGCCAATGTTTCTCTCGCAGAATGAAAGCTTGCGACTTCATAATGAAAGTTTAAGCCCTTGGTTTAACATAGCCCAAGGACATGGATCATTTCGAAATACTAACGCTTACTCCGAAAGCCGTAGTTAATGCAGGAGTCGAATCAACAAGATCAGTACAACATTAGAAATCAATCTAATATAAAAAAAAATTCCATCGATGTAATTTTGATGGCATCGTTTTTTAAAGTTCAGTTAAGGGCTTTTACCAAACAAAGCCTATAGTCATAAGATTATTAACCAATTCTGATAGCCTAATAATCATCGATATGATTCATTCGAGGGTGAATCTACCATATCAAGCAAACATAAGATATCATATACATTTGGTAATCCAGGATAATTATATGCATTTAAACATCATCATAAGGCTAAGCTTGGAGAAAAATTAAAACAAAAGGTGAATACCCACAACAACATTTTCATCATGTTGAATATTCAATTGCACGACAATCGCTGAACTCTTTTGCCATCACAGTTTATTAACACCGACCGACGATATGCCCACAGTTCAGAGGACCAGACACTTCTGGATTCACATTATCGAATTATTAAATCAGATAGTTGTTGTAATCCTAATAGTTGGTATCATTCTTCGGAAAAGAAAATTTAGTTTTGGCTTTAAAAGAATGATCCAATGGGAATGGCACTATCAGAAATGACAACAGTGACTTGCAAGTTGCAAGGAGAGATAAAAGGAAGGCATGAATTAAGCCTCATAAGATTCCTTCTTTTTCTTTTTATGATGATGAGAGTGGTTGAAACAGAGTTGAAAAGGACAAGCATCGACAAAGGATCAAGTTCTATTGAGTATAAATCATGAGACAACGCTGTAAATTAGCAGAAACTTCTTAGTTACGACGATCCGGTGGACGAATCACCACAGCGAATAAAAATATAAGCCAAGCTTGTCATGTAATCAGCATCTCATATTAGTTATCTGTGATGATACAACATCTGTATGTAAGTTTGAGGTGAAAAGCCAGAGATCATACAGACCAAGATTGGAGGTGATCCATCTAGATGAGAGCAACAACAAAGAGCAGTCAGATCACAGAGATCACTGTCGATCTTTTGGTACTTAAATCACCACATAAGAGAGAAAATTAAGAAGAAATACCGATATGTGCTCTTATCTTCTATGAGTAAATTGTACAACGATTCAAAATCTTGAAGTTGTGTATGGTAAGAAGAAAAAAAATCTAATTTTTGTTTCGAATAGGGCCATAAACAGTACCCTGTTCTGAGATACAATTCAAACTGTTGTGTTTTCTTTGCACCATAAACCCAAATTACCATCCAACACTCAGTCAAGAAGATTAAAAATTGGGACTTCAAGAAAAAAAGGCATCATTTCATACTGAAAAGTTCGATCTTTACCCCAAAAAGGGTCCAAGAAAGATCATTCGCAAAGTAAAGAAAAGGACTTGATGCCAGAAACACAACATACCAAAGTCCTGGCTCTTAAGGTCAAACCGAGCAACTGGATTCTCCCCCTTCATAGCCTTCTCCTTGGCGGGCGACGGGACGAAGAACCTCTTTGCCTTGGAGGCCATTCCCAGGCGCCATCTCGCCGCGGAATCCGGGTCTCCTTGAACCGAAACGCAAGCACCCATCTTCAAGATCAAATCTTTGTCGTGGAACCTCCGTCTCCTGCTCGTGTCACAAGAAATAATCTTTGCAAGGAAAATGCAAAATAGGAACGCAAGAAGAGGAAAAGGCAAGCGATCGCTACTTGACTTAGTGAGGGTGACAAAAAAGATCACTTTCTTAATATAAAGAATCCATGATAAGAGGCCAAAGGTCTGCCACGCCGACCTTTTGCGCAGAGAGAGAGAGAGAGAGTACAGAGGCAGGGAAAGGAAGAGAGCTCTCTTTTTGGTTCTTTGCTCATGGAACAGAGAAGATGTAGTGGAAACAGGTAGGGGCCCTTTGAAGGGTAGCTTGAACTTCAAAGTGAGGTCATAAGGTAGGCATTGGTGCCACTCGTTGGCCCACCATGAATAAGAAAGATTTCTGTGTGCACCAATAGATCCTTCTCATGATGGAGAAGAGAGGATGGCAGTGGAAAAGAGCCTATCCAAATGAATTAGATAGGCAAAAAATATAAGTGTGAATTCTTGCAATTATTAGAAGCTTATAACAGTTCATGCTTATTATAACCACAATGACAGGAACAAGGGACAAAGTTTCAACCTTGTCAAAATTTATGTGCATAGTCATTATATTTATCTTGCTGGAGTTCATTGTGAATGTTGCTTTGGTAGGAATGACCTCTGTTTTGTCTTGTTGTAGTGGCTGTTTTGGATCAATTACCTTCAGCTTTCTCTTTTTCTCATGATATTTAATCCTCTTTGATAGAGCAATAATTGATGTGCCTCTGTCCTACTATAACATTATTTTTCACATAATCAATCCAATAACATACTATGATTACCAGCCCTGTTAGAACAGGGTTTTGTTTTCCTTGGAAACAGCAAAATATGAGACTGGCTGGTGACCAACTACAGTAAATTCAGCATCATGCATTTGACTAATCAATAATATATATATATAAGATATTATTTTTTGTTGGATTTGGGGTCTTTTTTTGTATGAGTTGTGAGTAGCATGGCTAAGGTTAGATATGGGGTCCTTTTCAATCAAGGACATCTCACCATGGCCATCAGGCACAGTTGTCTTCTCCATCCTTCTTGTAACCATCAGCAGAAAGAAGCTTTCTTGGAAGCAAACCAACCATTAGTCACTTAATTGATGACACTTGTAATAAGCATAATTCTAAATGCTTCATATTCTGACTGGGGATTTCTTGAGTCATGGATGAGAAGTCATGCAGGACTGGAGTTGCAAGCAGATGAACTGTGTCTTCAGGCATTAGCATGAGTAAACTGAGGGCCAATAGATAACATCCGATTGGTTGATCTTCTATCAGATCATATTACCAACAGTGAGAGTGGCAATCTTGATTTTTTTTTCTTTTCTTTTAGTACTTGAATTTAATCCGACTTACGAACATAAGTATTTTTTAATCGAATTTAGAATATGATGAATCATGACATGTCCTCGCTATTTCATTTTAGAGAATTGTACGATCTTAACCAACGTATATTAAATATGATCATTAATATTTTTTTAGTAAAAAAACTAGTGAAGAAGTCAAGAATTATTAGATCCTATAACGAGTATCATAGGATGAGTCATTATTTATTTTTGTCGTTCTGAACGTGTCTTTATCATTTTGTTTCTTTTGAAGTCTCATACAATTCAAAAGATACTGTAAGGATAAATCGAGATAGAAATAAATAAAAATGAATTCAGATTTAACAAGAGAGGCAAGCAAGAAAGAATGATAAGAGTCTAGAATTGCTCGTTTTCTTCTTCAAAGTGATTGCAGGCACCATAGCTTGGGACTCCTCCACATGTGGAAATCTCTAGTAACTCCTTGAGGAAGAAGACCTCAGAGCCAAATCAATGGAGGTTCATGTGGTCAAGCTTCAGCCATGTCAGTGGCAGAGTGGAAGCCAAACTACAAGAAGAAAGCTGAAACTTTATGCCATGTACAAATAAGAAGAGAGAAGGAGCTTTCCTTTTCTTGGCATTCAAGTCAAACGGTCCATCACTTCCACTGAGCCCCCCCACCCCCCTTCTCCATGAGAAGCCACCAGAAGCTGGAAAAAGAAGTGCTCTCATCAATCCTTGGGATCTCCCATGGTTTTGGCCTCCTTGCAAGCCAATCCTTTGGATTGATTGAGTAGGTAGCTTAATAGTATCAATCAGGAAGATAAATTGACAGTGCTTTGTATCAAATTAATCTTAGCTTGATGTAACTCTATTTAAATTCATATTTATTATGATACCATAATATAACTTTTATAATCTCGAACATCGATTCGATGAGATAATTGATCTATTAACTTAACGAGTTTATAATGATACAAGTTTGTGATAATATACTCAATCAATTCTTATAGATCATTTTAATTTTTTTTAAAAAATATTTTTATTTTTAATGTGGGATTAGATTGAAATTATGAATCTCTCTTGTCTTCATATTTTTTTTTATCAAAAACTAATATAGTCCAAAATCAAACTGTAGCTGAGTGTAAATGAGCTTTGGCCCAATAATGATTTCACAATATGATATAAGTCTTCTTAATTTTATTCTTGTCTAGTATTAGATTTATTTTAATATCATATGTTACAATCCAATTTGACAATATAACTAACTGATTACTAACTTGATAAATTACTGATAGTATACTGATCAAGTCTATAAAAATCAATTCAATTTTGTTTTCACTTTCCATGGAGGATTAAACTGGAAAGTGAAAAATATTAGATGAGGCATGAGATGGTTGGAGATCAATTTTAAATGCAATGAATGAAAGCAACACAAAGTTAGATCCATGAAATGTGAAGGCACATATGGTTTGATGAGGTCCTACAAAGGACCACAGGGGCTCTCACAACCTAACCTTCTTCATGTTGCCATCAATCCATTCCAAGAGAAAGATAAATCCACTCCAAATGTCCAAGAGTTCATGCACATTCTCTTGTGATTGTTTTCTACTTCCATTTATATCATTTGTTAATCATCTGATTTTATTTTTGTCAACATGATCAAGATTAAAGAACTCATGTTTGGGAGTGCCATTTCATACCATTTGGTGTGCCATCTGCCTTGGATAAGTTATTTAAATGCATCACATTGACATCTCAGGATATCATATTTTATTTTGTTTGGTCCCTCTGATCAATGCTGAAAAAACAAGTGTGGACAAAATGGACACCCATCTCAATCCCCATCACCACAAGCATTTAGGAAATCAAAGTGTATATACATTGTAGCCTTTAATTGTACTTGCAACATGTTGGAAAGAAAAAAAAATAAATGTATATATCTTTTTAAAGTAGTAATTTTGTACTTATTCTCTTTTAAATTTGAAGGCAAAATTATATCTTTTTTTTTAAATACTTGTCTCAATCCCTTGCATCAATTGACTATTAGTATAATGACATTAATACTTCTTTCAATACATTTTTCTAGATATTAGGAAATATGGAGATAAAATTATTATTAAAAATAATAAAAAAATACCTTAGATATTTAAAATTTATTTTTAATTAAATCCACTAATAATCATGATTAATAGTAATTAACTTGAGTTATGTATATATGTAACTTTATTATTTTTATTATATTGAACTTATAAAGGTAATTATTGTATAATTTTTATTGTACAATAAAAGTTTAATTATTATATAGTTTTTATTATTGCTTCTTCAACTCCACTTTTGGATAGGGTGGATAAAGTGAAACAGCACATCTAAAAGCTGTGATTTCAGATTCAATGGAAGAAAAATGTCACTATATTGGTAGGGAAATAAAAAGAAAAAGAACAACTAATAATTGATATATCACATCTGCTAAAACATAATCACCTCTCAATCATATAATCCATGGCTCAACTAAGTTGATGCATTTGGTTTATTCATATCTTTTATATTCTAATTTTATTCAATTTATGCATTTGGTTTATGCATTTTGTTGAATACAAATATATATATATATATATATATATATATATATATATAATCCATTTATATATATTTAATACAATTATATATATTTCTATATATTTTATCCATTACGTATCCATATATATATATATATATATATTTATTTATTTATATCTATATATATCTCTCTCTCTCTCTCTCTCTCTGTATATATATATATATATATATATATATATATATATATGCTCTCATTAAGAGAGCGCTCGCTTTCTCCACCCTCTTCTTCGGCTCGTCGTCATTACTGCGATTATTCTTTTCGTAGATAGATACTTCGATGGGCTTTTCCTCTTCTCCATGGCCGATCACGCCACCTGCGCTAGATTGACCGGCGTTGCCCGCACCATCCCCGAACCGGTGGCCGGCCCGCTCCACTCGACCCGGTGCAAACCCATAGCGGGCTTCCTCCGCTTCCACCTCACGCTCCTCCACTCCCTCTCCTAACCCCCGTCGAGCGGCCCTGATGGCCCGGGTCTTCCTCCACCACGTCGTCGGCGACCTCACCCTCGGCAAGCCCGAGCTGGTCGAGTTCTCCGAGGCGGAGACGGTCGAGGCGGCCGTCCGCGCCATCGGGGACTCCGCGGATGGCGCGATCGCCGTCTGGCGGAGGAGGCCGATGGAGCCGGCGCCGCCACCTTCGGCTGAGAGGTTTATCGGGATGTTGACCTCGTTGGACGTGGTGGCCTTCCTCGCCCGGGCCGGCGCCGACCAGGAGAGGGCCATGAGGACGCCGGTCTCGGAGCTGGTGGCGCCCAACCCCAGCCTGCTGAAGGAGGTGGATCCTGGAACAAGGTGCGATCTTTTGCCACCTCTTGGCTGTCTTTATGGTTCATGAGAGGGTTTGATTGGTACGCTCGATCAGCTCGCCAAATCTTGTTACATATTAGGGCTATTTGACTGGAATCTGATAGCTGCAGCACTTGAAATTATTTAGGTGATGTACTTGCCACAGGCTTAGTTTAGTGATTGATCTTGCTTGTTGAGCTATTACTATGGAAGTGCCAATTCTTAGTCCTCCGCCGGTTATCCTTTTCTAGAATGAGAATTGGGTGGAGATAACTCTGTCTACTTAATTATGTTTTCTAGTTATCTAATTTCTTGGTGCAGTGCGCCAACAACGCCATATTTGCATAATATTTTAGTATCATTATTGTTGACCATGTAGGTTTTGTTCCCTCTATCCACTACATTTTAAGATGGACATGTGACCACATGATCTGTATGATACTTTGTACTGTGTGATGTTCATATAGAAACTGCAACCAAGTTATTTGGAAAATGAAAGAACAAATTTTCTACTCATATAAAAGCTTCGGAGAAAGCAACAGGTATGTTATAAAATGGAATATCCAATATCTATCCTTTTCATTTAAGAGGCAAGTAAGAAATCATAATTAAGGTTATTTGTAGTGACCCAAAATTCCATGTTAGTAATTGATTGGTAAACTTTATGTATCCGAAAAACTTGTTTGTTGATTGATCTCACTGGTCAAGTTGATTTATTGACATAGATTTTCATTAACGAAGTTGATTTATTGGCTTGGTGCTTGACCACATCTAGCTCCTGCTATGGTTTAAAGATGCTCATTCTGATACTAGCTTCGATGTCTTTGTCCTAAGAAAGCTTCTGTTAGTCAAAGTTTGTCAGATACAGTCTTTCATAGTTTGCCTAATCCCCGGTGAGGTTTCTGAATGCACTCCATATAAGTTTCTTCTGCACTAGCCGAACATTTTTTTTAAAAGAAAGCTGGCCTTAGTTTAGTATCATCAAAAGAGTTTAGTATCTGAAACTTTATTACTGAAAAGTTCAAGGTGATTTACAATTGCTGGTTTTTTTTTCCAGTTTTGTATGTCTTGCACTTTAGTTTGCTTGGATATATTTACCAATATCAGCACTGCTAATAATCTGCCTGATTGCTCAAAATAAGAATTTCTTTGGTTATCGCTGTGTGCTGTAATTTTCTGGTCAGTTCTCATACCTTCTGTCGGAAGCAAAGAAGATGTGGGTTAACTTTAGCTTCAAGGTTGTTGCAGCACTAATCATTGACTTTGTTTATCTTGTCAGTCTCTCTTACAAAGAGCTTTTCCTCTTGATTTACATATATTCTGTCTTTGGACTGTTAGGTTAATTGATGCACTGGAGATGATGAAACAAGGGGTAAGGCACCTCCTTGTGCGCAAAAGCATCGTGTGGAAAGGCTTCAGCAAGCGCTTTTCCATTCTTTACAATGGTAGATGGCTCAAGAACACTCAGAGCTCATCCTTGGGTGGAGAAAGCAACAGTGACCGACCGTCAACTTCTGCTCTCCCTGACAACAAGTTTTGCTGCCTCTCTCGGGAAGATGTGGTCCGTTTTCTGATAGGTTGCCTCGGTGCTCTAGCCCCGCTTCCTTTATCTTCAATCTCCTCGGTCGGAGCCATTGGTTCAAACTATGCTTACATTGAAGCCTCCTCACCTGCCCTTGAAGCCATCTATAAGATTCCTCATGACCCATGCGCGATTGCAGTTGTTGAGACAAACTCCGAAGGCAGTCACAAGATAATCGGAGATATATCCGCATATAAGCTATGGAAATGTGACTACTTGGCTGCGGCATGGGCTATGGCAAACTTGTCAGCCGGACAATTTGTTGTAGGAGCAGATGATTATGGCACCACACCAGTTTCCGTGCCGGAACTCCCCATTGATTCATCAGCAGGTGATACTGGGGCTGGAGACTCATCACGACCTAGGAAATTCAGCAGCAGGAGTATCGGGTTCTTCAGTAATCAGGCGAACCAGATGTCGATCGGGAGGCTGAGGAGCATGTACCGCGGGAGGAGCGCACCCTGGACCTGCAAGCACACGAGTTCACTGGCTGCCGTCATGGCCCAGATGCTGTCCCACAGGGCCACCCATGTATGGGTCACAGATGCTGATTTGGACGACGACACCTTAGTTGGCATTATCTCCTACACCGACATCCTGAATGCGGTCACCAAGCATCCGACACCATGAATTTGTCTCCTCCCGTGTTGTGTTTGTTTGATCATCTTTAAAGGTTTTCAGGCACCCTTTTCTTCATACTGAATCAATAGAGTTATGTATGTATGCATATGGTATATGATGAACTATACTCTTTGTCATCTGAGCTTTGCATCATATTTCTGTATACCTATGTTTGTGACATGTTAAAATCAATGAGAAAGGGATATAATGTTATGGAGTGAAGCATGTTTGAGCCATGTTGGCAATACAGATCCCAAATATTTATCATAAATTTGATTAATGGATATTCTAAATAATTGAATTTTAACTAACATGTTTAATAATCCAACGTTTTGAACAATAATAATAATAATAATAATAATAATAATAATAATAATAATAATGAGTATTATTATTTGAGCGGAGTAAATGCGGGACCCACCGTCGGTCCCACTGCGTCGGCTTGCCTCTCTCAAACAGCGAAGGCTGGACACGCATATAAAAGGGCAATGCTGTGGAGTCGTCGGTTGGTGTTAAGAGGACGAGTGGGATGGAGATGCTGAGGGCGACGTACGGCTCGGACTCGGAAGAGGACGACGCAGACGACTCGGCCGCTGCTCCTCCCATCGTCGGCAGCAGGAGTAGTAGTGGTAGTAGTAGGAGCAAGGCAGATTCCGTCAATGGTCGTTCGAATCTTGAACAACTGGACCCCTTGCCGCCGCCGCCTCTCGATCTCCTCCAATCCCCCATTGTTCTAGGTATCGCAAACAAACTTCTTTTCTTTTCCCTTTCTGTGCCACTCGATTTGATGACACAGGAGGCGTGGATTGCAAGGGAGTTCCTCCAATCCCCGATTTAGATTATCTTGGAATTAGGGTTTCGTTTATGGGCACGAGGGGTTGGAGCTATTGTTTGGACTCTGGTGTTGTTTATCTAACTCTTGTTTTAGAAGATTCCACCTTCATTTTGTCCCCTTCTGTTCTTCGCATGAATACCCTCTTAGTGTTCTCAAAAAGAAAAAAATTGACGCTTTTGCGTATTTTGGTGTAGGAATTCCATAAGGGTTTACTTCTAATATTTTGTTCTTCTTTTTTTTTTTCGAGAGAGAGATTATTGTTTTATTGATTTGAGTTGTTTCTGATATGAGCTTTCCGTGTTTTTAGATTTCTCATCAACTACTCAAGGTAGCCGCATCAGAAGCTTCCCACATGTCGAAGGAAATTATGCTCTTCACGTTTACGTACCAGGTCTCGTTGCAAACGTTTTCGGTTGCTTCATGATTTTGCTTTTTAAGAAAATGCTTTCCATGTATCCTGCTACCTGAATACTCTATGTAATGCCCCGAAGATATGAGCTAGGAACTCATATGTTATGTCAGATTAGGTGATCTAGAATTATGCACTTGCCAGATTAGGTGATCTACAAAATATGTGAATATAAAATGTTCTGACTGAAGTGTGATAACTGTGTTCTTAAATGTTATGTCAGATCAGCAGTTCTGAATTTTTGCAATTTCTCTGAACCTAGAAATTTTGTTTCTTTTTCTTTTTCTTTTCGATATTGTAAGAACAACCTTGCACTCTGTTTTGCAGTTGTTATACCAACTACAATGAAGATGCCAGTAGCACTTTTTGTAAAAAGAATTGCATCTCTGGTGCCTGGTCTTTATGCTGTTGATATTGATTACCCTCTTGCCGAGTTATGCAGAGATGATCTGAAGCTAGAACAGATGCTCCTAGGAAGAGAATTCCATGTTAGTTTGGGAAGAACTGTTCCTATTAAAGTGCATCAAATTGATTCCATCGTGGCAATGCTTCGTCAGAAGTTCCAATCTCAGAGAAGGTCAGCATATGTTTTCCACTTTGAAACAACTGAACAATAAAATGTTTGAATAAATCCATGTTCTCAATTTAAATTTTGCTCTAACACCATACTCCATTCTGTTATTAATTTTATATTCTCATAGGAGACAGGTACAGGGTAGAGTTCAACAAGTGGGATGTTTTTGTCAATGATGAGCAAACTCGCTCTTTTCTTGCACTTGAAGTTCTTGGTGGTGGTCTATCAGAGGTATCTGTGAGAGATTTTGCACATATTGCAATTTCTGCTAGTTGATGATTGGCTGGCTGTTCATCATTGCTTTATGTTATTTTCCTTTTGTGCTGGGAAAGGCCTTTTCTTGTCTTAGGTTAGATTTAGATTAGGCATGGAACCTATTAATAACTTATCGAATTGAAGTCTTCTGAGTCATCTTTACTTGTTTGAATAGGTGATGTATTTTTTTCCCTTCAAAATTTCGCTTAATGGACCAGGGAAAAAAGTCTTTTGGCAATAAAATTTTTTGGAGGTGGGCCTTGGTGTCACTGTAAGATTTCTCCTTTTCTTAGATGTCCTAAGTAAGTTGTCGAAGTTAGATGAACCAAGGTATGATAGTATCCGAGTTGAGACAGAAAGTCTGGACAAAATCATGATGATCAAGATGTTTTTGTTCCAGATATCAGTTCTAAGATATCAAAGGACTGTTGGATCTTGTAAAAAGATGAAATTTGACAGTTTCTTTTGTATTGTTACAAATATTTATTTAAATAAGAACTCACAGTATATTGCGCGAAGCAGATTAGTGTTTGTGAGCCGTCATTTGAATTATATTAGTCGGCATCTCCATATACTCTGGTTTATATATTTATTTTCCAAGAAAGGCCTATATTAGACAAGGGAATAAACAATGTCTGCTGCAGCAATTTCTAGTCAAATGAAATCCAGGTTGTGGTCTTTGCACCTTGGACATATGGCTCATTTTGTCTACAGTAGTGTATCAAGTTGTTAATTGCAAAATTTGAGAAATTTTCTTTACCTATAAGTGTCGAATTGCTTCGAATTATTGGAGAAGCAGGGAACAAATGATTTGTGTATTATCATTTATAGTTTTATGGCTACTTTCTGGATTGTTGTTGATCCAATTTCTGGGGTCTGATTAATATAATTCTTGTATAACAGTGTTTGGAGCAAACAGTTACCAAAATTGCTAGTTCCTCAAGGATTCAATACACATCTGTTTAGATGACTTAGTTTCTTGTTTATGCTCATAATACTGGAAATAACTTCCAACAATTTTGGTTGCCACTTGTATAAAGTTCCACTAGCAAACTAATCTTGTACCTTAGCCCATCAACCATTTACTTGTATGTGTCAAATTAAGGATTTATTACTAATGTTTGTCAACTTACCTTCTACTAATGTTGGTCTTCTTGTTTACAGATAACTAAGCAGATTCATATTGTTGACGTGATATATAGATTGCATGGTCTCCCTGAGTTTTATAAGGTATACTGTTTTAGTGATTTGCCATTAATGCTCTGTAATATAATTAAGTACTGCTTATTGTCACTGAAATTAATATAGGCATGAACTTATTGATCCAGATGAGAGTTTCTGTGTGATCTGCTCCAAATTCGTTGGCATCTTGTCATGTTATCATGAACTCTTCATGAAGTTCATAATTATTACCTGCACAGCTCATTGTGTAGAAGGATATAAGGATGGCACAACTTGTTTACACGTAATCATCCTTTTATTTACTTCTTTATATTGGTCAACCAACCTTTAAAATGTTAAGCATCAAGGTGCTTCTCGTCATGCTTGTTTAAGTGAAGCCTTGGTCTTAACCCTCCCTTGTCATCCTTTGAACCAATTGTTACCCTTTTATTTGCTTCATTCCTGTCATATATTACATGGGGCAAAGATTTAAATACCAGTTGGACTAGTTTGTAGTGATTGGTATTTTATCGATCCGACCATCAGTATAAATAGCTCAATACCTGTACATATATGTTTATTTTTATTATTATATTCATTGTTACTAGGCAATTGGTCAGTCTATTGGTACCATATTTAAGTTTTCAAGTGGTCGATTAATTAGATGAATCATCTATTTTGAAGTTACAGAATCGTTGCATGATGGTTCTAGAAATCTATTTACCTTACAAGTGTAACGTTATTTCATTGTGGAGATTAGTATATGACTATCTTGTGAAATCTAAAATCGACACAGTCATTCTAATGTTGCATTTACCTGGTGGCAGAATCCACGGCCCCACATATCATTGTTATGGGGATTAGGAGATATGAGCGACGGGTTAAAGCAGGGTATTGAAGAAATTGATAGATCCTACAAAAATGCAAGCCTGTCATGTGGTGGTCACATCTTTACTTGCAAGACCAGTGGCATCGAATGTAAAATAGGTAAAAAGACATATAGCATATGTAAGTTTCTTGATTGAAAGCAATTTTTGTTGACAAGGCTTTCACAGTTAATATGGTATATTGTAAACATGATCATTTATCATCTTAATCTTTCTGCAATCATTAGCCTATAACCTTTCTGGCTCTGGTGTTACTCAAAATTGTGAAAATTTTTGAGTTCACGAACTATCATCAGGTCAATTGTAAAGTTAAAAGTGCATTTGAGAAATTACTTTGTTCATGTTTAATATGGAGATTGTGGAGAAGAGTTTAGAATCCTTCTCATATTATCAGATCTTTTGAGACTGCTGCATCATTGTTGTCTTTGTGAGAATTCAAGTACAGAGGCTTGAATTCTTCTCATGTTTAATTGTAGGTTTAAAGTGGAGGGTAATGCAGTACCTGACACTAACTACTGTTATCTTTGTGAGAATTCATGTTCAGAGGACCTACCAATTTGGTCTGTGGGAAGAGAGAACATTTCTTTTCTGGTGAAATATACATTATTTGAAAATCTATATCATAGTCATCCTGACATTTGTTTAGGCTTTTTGAGAAATCCAAATCTTTCTGATGCTTGCAATCCAACATCATGCATTCTTGTGCTCATTAACTGGTTCTCTAAACTAGTAATGGATGGACGAGTCAAAGATGCTATGATGCGGAGTTGGTGGGTGGTTTAGGGGAATGGTGATAATGATGTTGAAAAGATGAATTTGAGTGTGGAATGATCTCCTGCAATCAAAACTTGCAGGAATAACTGAGGCCAACATCAAGCTGTGTGTTCCTTTTCTTGTGACTTTGGACTCTCTAAATACAAGTTTTAAGCATGAAGAACCCACCCTGAACTTGTGAATAACATCACAATAAGATAGTGAGATCATGCAATTGACACATCCTAATGGTTAATGCATTGCTTTACAATTCATATCAACAGACGATAGATAGATTGGTTTCATGTTCGAGTCCATGTAAAAATACTAAAAAAATCATGCAATTGGCTTTTTCAGCTTCAGAATCTAATAAAAGATGTTCAAGCTATGAGTACAACAAAAGTTCACAAGGTAATAAAAATGTTACAAGAAAGAATCAAAGAATCGAAAACATTATGCTTTTAATGATATGACTCATGTAATAGATATGACTCATGTAATAGATCTCTGCTCACCGGAAGCATCGATTAGAATTTTCTCTCTTCACAAATGCTGGTGGCAATTCTTTGTGTGTTAAGCTCCTCGATCATACACTGGCTAACTATTTCGGACTTTGTTGTCTAACTTGAGGTTTTGTTAATGAGTTACATTACTGCTTCCTCGAGTTTGTTTCGAGTTCTTCGGGATATGGATCGATCCAGCAATTATCTTCGGTCACAGCCTTCTGCCATCTTTTTCGAAAGATCTCCAATTCGACAGAAGACCGCCGCCTCACCTGCGTACGACAGCTCAATCCAATCAGATGATATAACCTCTAAATGATGTCGAAAAGCAATATGGTAAATGCAATAGAGACAAAGTTTCTTAGGTTTTCATTTATTTCAATCCATAATAAGCAAATAAGTTGTATTTGAGGATGTAAGTTTGATCTTGCACAAATAATGGCCAAGTAAGGCTAAATTATTCATCGGCCACAATTTTTTGAGTATCGGTTACTGATACTCGAAAAACCATATTCGACTGTATATAAAAATGTAGTACTTACTGCAGATCTATCTTTAGCGGCAGGCGAACCAGTAGATCCCTGCACATACAAAACTACCAGTCAGATTCATCAGGAGTCTATAATTTAGAGAGAAAGAAGATGAGAGATTTGGTTTACCCGATGCTCTGACCTGAGTTCATCCAACACACGATTAAGTCATGCGTGTCGATGGATAGAATAGAAGAGAAAGAGAAAGAAGATGAATATCACAACACCATGTGAATCATTTCCTGCTGGTCTAAGGTAATGAGATTTAGATGGAAACAACAAAACAAAGACATGTTCTGGTCACAATGTAGACTGACATGCATCTATTGGATAATAGGGAGAGAGAGAGAGAGAGAGAGAGAGAGAGAGAGAGAGAGAGAAAACAGAGATATTTACATGATTCAGCTCATTAACCTATTTGTACAGGCAAAGGCAGGAAGACTTCCATATACCATAGTAGCAGAGTACAATAGGAATTACATATATAATAATATAAAGGGAATAATAGAAATATAAAATTCGGGTTTTTTTTCCCAAAAAAGAGGAATCGTTTAACATCAATTTGACTTTTAAGATTAAGATTTAGGTGGATTTTTATCATCACCAATATAACAGGTTTGGCATCTTATTTGTTTAGATGAAGTATTTGTTCTTTGTAGTAACTCACCATTTTCTCATCAAACCCACCAAGCGTCGGCAGCCCCTTATGAACTATGTATTCACTGTCCACCACTCCAATGTTTTTGCTCTGATCACCCTGTCAAAAGTGGTTTGTCTGAGATTTCTTCTTGACAAACAAATATTTCACACATGCCGGTATTGTCCATCAAACATTACCTGAGCACAGTAACCGAGCTTCATATCGAGACCCCATGCATGAATCAAGTCATTCTACAAACAAATGCAACATGAGAAAAGTTAGTTCGACATATTTCAGTAGAAAGACACGATATATGTCTCGAAACATAAGATATTGTATTAGTGCTGTGTGCCTTGTGCTTGGATAAAATTTAAATGTGTATTAAAATAAGACGGACAAATACGTGAATATAATTTTGCACAAAGAATTAAGACATTTTCCACACACTTGAATCATATGCCACGCACAGCGCCAGGCAGCTCTCGAGAAAACAGGAGCCATCATTTCTACCCATCTGCGATAACGAAAATGTTCAGCATCGAGGGTAGTGGTAAACGTTTAAGAATGAAAATCATAGTAAATGCCTAGCTTTCAACGACAATAGGTTATGGAATATACTTTTGCAATCATTCAAAACAGCAAGTCCATTAAGCTAGAACGAAAATTGCGGATTATGATATGAGAATGAATGACCAATTTTCCAGCTTTGAGCTATAACTTCAAATGTGGCCTCAGCTTCTCATTCCAGCAACATAATTGAATTGACTTAGGTATGTTCGGTTTGGTTTAGTTATGGTTCAAAATTAAAATAATCTGCTACAGATGTACCATATTTTTGAATTAATTATGTATATCCACTACTGAATCTCTTAATTAAAATGAGAATAAATGGCTTAACTTGTATATTTGAATTAATTCAGAAAGCAAATTTCCATCTCTTGTTCTTAATTCCAGATTTCCCTCCAGTGTCTACAAATTATTTATCAGGATAAGATGATGATGCTTATATTATTAATCACTCCCTGTCCAACTATGAATATGATGAAACACAGATCTAAAATAGTATCATGTTTAACCCTAAACACTTATTGTGTAGTCACAAAATGATAACAGATGATCCTTCTCTGTTTCAATAGAAAAATATTTCAATATGGTTGGTTGGGGAAAAGAACCTTACCCAGTGCATGGAGGTTGACTGCTGTTATCATCACATTTTTTGTCACCACTGAACTTGTACATCCTTCTGTTAATTGGAAAATAAATATTGGTTTTCGATATTTTCCATTCAATACTATGAGTACTGAGTATGAAATGGAATCTACTTGCAATGAAATGAATAGCCAAATAATGACTGGGTCTACTAGAAAAACAAGATAAAACAAGACCTGTGTACGACTCGTTTGCTTAAACGTGCTGTAATTTGATGATGAATCCGAGATTTTACAAGGTCAAGTGCAGGTTGTGATATCTCTAAGCCTTCCCTCTCAACAATCATTAAGTATCTGCAGGAGTTGCATGTGTCAGTTAATCAAGATCGAACTAAACTGTTGATCAGATCTATCTGTCATACAACACCGATTTAGAAATGGTTCCCGGTAAGTTAACCCATTTCAACTGCTCAGTAAACAACAAGAAGTCCAACTTCACTAGTACAGCATGATACTACAAATAAAACTTCTCACATCTCAGTTCTCTTAAAGAATAGCAAATAAATGAAAAATTTTCATGGCCAGAATGCAAAACCATTCAAAAGAAATCATCAAAAAGCCGGCAGTGAGAAGTCTATGACACGACCTTCAAATTTAGATTTGAGATCCTGGAAAAACATTATAATTTTTTTAGTTCTATTAACAAATTCATGATAAAAAACACCAACCTTTTAGGATGAAAATTTTCCACCTCGATATCCTCATCCCATAGGAAGATATACTTGTACGGTGCAACTATGTCTGGATGTAAGAAGCGCTTAGCAAACCACCTGCAAAAGATTATTGTTTTTAGTACGGGCTACATAGTCGAAGAATACAATATCAGCCATAATTTGAGGAACATTTTGATGATCAACTAAATTACCATTTTGTTTGATTGATTGCAGAAATATGTAGGGCACTGTCACTCCATTGTAAATCTTTCCATTCATCAACAACACCATCATAGTGAAAAAGCATCACGGTGAAATCACTGGAAACAAACTAGAATACAAACAAAAAGTATTTAGCAAAACTGGAACTTTATGTAAAGATTTTAACATATAGACATGAGGTAATGATATTATTTTAACCTTCATTACAATCTGATTCACCATGGCCTTTTGGTTTATTCCAACTGGAATCGCCAATAAGCTCTTCTGTAAACTGACACCATCCTGTTCCCAACATTCGGAAAGAGTTGACATGAATCACAGTTAAGTTCAACAAAAATGCCAAGGAGAATAAAGAGGGTGGAGAGGTAGACAATAATCCTAATCCATTACTTAATCTAGGAGTCTATGGAACGAATAGTTTTGGTAGTGACCCAAAATTTTCTCTTCCTCACCACACAAATATTGATCCAAGTTCTGAGATAATGACTTCAAACAACATATTGAAACGGAGGTTGCCCGTGATCATGCTTGTGCATGCACAACACTATCACAGGCATCAGCACCATGCCAACAGAGTATTTAAACTCCTTTTGCCAGGCATCAGCACCATTCCAAATGATGCAGGCTGAAATAGAGCATGTTGGCACCAGCATGCATCAAGTTGGGATGAACTGAAATCTTCGATTAGTACCTAGAACAATCCTATATGTTGGAAAAAAACTGAAACCTTTTTAAGAATACCTTCAAAAATCCTATACACAACACCTACAAAAATAAGACGATTTTACTCATTAGATCAGTAACACACCTTTCCTCTTCGAGAACCCCATAGAGGCACCATTTCCAAGTCTGACTTCGGACTAACAATACCTTTAGGCAATGCTTCACTTCCCAGAGATGTGCAAGGACTCTGAAAACCATACAAACTGAATCATAAGAGCATAACATTTAAACCAATTGTTATAAACTTTAAAGAGTGCAAATGACCAAAACAAGTGACACCAAAGATCTTAAAGCCAAAGTCGTAAATAATAACCTTGCATGAATTGGATCGAGTGGACTCCAAGCTAGACTCACGGTGCCATGAATTGGCTTGAGGGGGTAAGTCTGATATGTCAGTCTTCAGAGTAGGATTAATTACATTTACCTTCAGAGTAGGATTAATTACATTTACCAAGCTAGACTCACGGTGCCACGAATTGGCTTGAGTAGTTGCTACAAAATCAGTTGATATCCCAGTCCACAATTTCTGCAAAAGGGGAATTATTTCCATGAGTCAAGATATGATTTTTACAATTTATAAATGTAGGATTAATTACATTTACCAAGAAGCTTATGTAGGCTAAAAACTAAGTTTTCCAGAGATAAAAGCATGTAAGATGATATCTTCTTAGTATACAAAATCCTCGTACAACAGCCACATGGACGATCTCAAAAGGTTGACATATACAAGACAAGAAAAGGCAGAAGAGTTCAAACTCTAAATTACATAGTAAAGTTCCAAGTTCTAGTCATTAACAAAAAAAATTAACTAATAAGAAATCTTTCAGTCAGGGAAAAGAACAATCTTCCTAGAATTGTCCAGAGGGTCAGCTAAAACTAAGATCACCAATCAATGGATACTAAATTAAATAAACAACAAAAACAAAGTCAGGAAGACAAATCATACCATTATATAATCAAATTCAACAAAAGAGGTCCCGATGATGAACACCATACATAGGAAAGCAGCTGCACGGTAGTTGGCACAAGAACATAATCTTGGACCCGAGGGATGTGTGGCAAGAGAACCCTGCAAGGAAGTTTTGAAAGAGGAAAAATAGAGCTTAGTGCAATCAAAATAAAATTTGTAGACAGTCTTGCAGACACACTGACACACAAAAGAAAAAAAACAGGAGGTAAACAGAATATGCCATGGGAATTCACCGAAATGAATATAAGAAAGACCAAACAACAACCAACATGAAGCATTACTTAATCAAGTCATTAAAAGAGTTGGGAGATTTCATGCCTCAGAAAACTGAACAGCAAACAGGACCAGATATAAGCACTGTCAACATCACTAGTTCAGTTCCTAGCATATTCCTTCAGCATAATAATTCTGTCAATTGAAGTCACTATCTCACCAAAACACGAATTAACACTGAAGCACTGAAACGAGAAATAGCTAAATAGTCTCCTACGGAAACAATCCTTTTCTCACTAAAAGTAAAATTAAAGATTTCAATGGAGAAATTTGAACTCAGGCCGTCGCCCTGCAATTGATCATATCGGTAATGATTCGCTATATCAACGGCATTCAAAAAGACAAAAGGAGGAAAAAGAAAAGCATTATCTTAGTAACTTCAAAGAGTTCGATGATTTCATGTTCCATAAAAACGAAAGCCACAAACCCGCCAGGAAAAAAAAATGAACTTTTGGTCAAAGCCGCAACACTGAAAACCCTAAAAATCGATCCTGAACTGATAAAGAAAAGAAGAAGAAAGCAGAAGAACAAAGCAGAAGAGGGAGAGTCCCTCACCATGACAAAGCAAGCAAACTCGGCGAACCCAATGGAATAAGAGTTGCGCGGTGGACTTCCCGGCAAAGCAGATTCCTTTACACGAAGCGTAACTTGGTCGAAGTGGGACGATCAAAGATCGTATCTTTTTCCCGAGGATTCTGTCCCGCTAGCTTGGTCGAAGCAGGACACTCAAAAATCTCGTCTTTCAGAAGGATTCTCTCAAGAACAGATGATCGAAGAGAGGAGGAAGCCGAGGAGGGTTAGATTTCGGTTTCGGTACACGAGTCAAAAGCGGCGGCGTCGGTCTTTTTGAGTTCCTCGTTTGGGCGCGTTCATTTCGCGGAGTGGGGTGCGAGTCCGGGAGAGAATATAGCGTGCAACACCAGGGGAGAAGAATCAATCCTTACCCGTCTCTTCGCCACTCTCCGTCCCACCTCTGGAGAACCGCTGTGGGTCCCGGAGACCGAGATCTTCGCACCGTAAGATCCAACGCAAGATTTACATGCATCCGTCCATCTCACCTGGCCTGGCGGAGACAGGGAACAGAGCTTGCTCTCATCACAATGCCGCACCGACGCCCGCTGCTATCGTCGTGAGAGGAAGAAGAAGGTCCAAACACAAAAGTCAACCCAGTGACATATGTATCTTATAGGCAGTCTAAACTTTGACGCAGGTCAAATTCCAAGTTTGTCCCCATCTCCTTTTGCCCACTCTTCAAAGCTATCAGTCTCTTTTTGGCCCCTCTCCAAGCAAACAAGCTTATGCACTCCTCCAGATAAACACATTGCATTCAGTTCACGAGGATTTAATGGGGGAATTCGATACATGGCGAGGATGTTCATGAAAGCCACAACAAGATGCTGCATGTGATTTGAACCTTCCCCAACTCTTTTCTTCACTCATTTGTTTGGAGGAATATAGAAGATAGCAGAAGATGATACCTGCAAGAATCCTGTGTGCGCGTTGTTGCATGGAAGAATTGCTGGTTTGGCCTGATGGTTTAGACTGACTGGTTATGGCTACGTTGAAGAAGGAGAGATAGAGAGAGAGAGAGAGATTGGTTGCTCTCGGGATCAAGCTTTTCCTTGTGAGGGGTGCTACCCAACAAACAAAGAGGCAAGAAGGTTAGCTAGCTAGAGAAGATCCAAATCAGATAACAAAGGTCAAAGATTGACTGTCAGATTTGGACCCAGTTTGATGTGTGGGAGTGCCCGAATAAAAAAATGAAAGAAATAGACTGAATATAAAAAGCTGCGTGCAGGCTCGAGCACACACCTGTGATGCTCCGCTTCCAGTAGAGATCAAGCACAGGCTAATCTTTGTTGCTCCACTTCCTCTCAATCTGTGAAATGCTAGAAAGACACTGAGCTACTACACAAACATTAACTTTAATTATAATTGCAAGTGATCCGGACAAAAACAGCCAAGAGCATCTATAATGTCAGTGAGAGAGAGAGAGAGAGAGAGAGAGAGAAGAGAGATGAAGATTAATCAAAGCAGGGGGGAGGCTTCAAAATACAAGGGAAGGAAGAAGGCGATTCTGTAGTCACCTCAGTCAGTAGTAGTTGGAAGATACACCCTGTGGAAATTGATCATGCTTAGCTTTCTTTGACAAGTAGGGCACTTCTTCTGAGATTTAACAGACGCCTTTATGCAGCTGCAGCAGAAAATATGGCCGCAAATAGTTGACGATGGCTCCACCAGTGTGTCCATGCAGATGGGGCAGATGAAAGCTGGTTCCTTGGCCGGCTCCGGCCTGGTTTCCATGACATTCTTGCCCTGCGTTTAAAGTCAACTTGCTTCAAAATCAACTAGAACTAAGCTTAGGAGTCTTAAAATTGGAGAAGACATGACAACCATGACCATAGATAATAAGATAAAAAAGTAAAGAATCTAGATAGACCACTCGAGTAAATCTCTCATCCTTCTGTGGCCCTCTCACAAATCTGACCTGTGAGGCAATAGGTGAGCTAACATAATTCCAAAATCACTCGGATCCGAATGAGGTGTGACTTCAGGGAAGGTATAAAGTGGGAACTGCATTCTTACTAGAATTGTCGATGGTTCCAAAATCACAACATTCGACTCTCAATTGTCAAATTCCACAGGATAACGAAAACTACAGCCTTAAATTGTTTGTAAAATAATGTTTCTTGAAAACAAAGCTAGAGATTGTAAAACACTCCAAGGCCGATTCAATTTTGTACAATTTCTTGATCTTGCACAGAGAAATAAGTCAAAATAAGCTAGAACCGATCAAATTCAAAAACATTTAACTGATTCTGGCTATTTAACTAACCTATTTAAAAGGATTAGAAAAAGAAAAAAAAAAAAAGGATAAGCAGGAGGAGCGCAAGGAGCAGAAAGAAAGAAGCCGAGAGTAAAAAAAAAATACAAAAGGAACCCATAACTATAAAGTAGAACAACAACAAGAAGTCCTGGATAATGCAATCAGAAAACCAGTTGAAAAAAATAATCAAATTTAGCACATTTTTACCTTCACGTTGGACTCCTCTTCCAGAGCTGGATAAAGCTCACAATTAATAACTGAAATGTTTCTTGAACTTCTTTCATGCTTATTGTGATCATTCAAAGATAATATGGTTGCTGATCCCTCTGCAGCAGAACACAAAAACACATTGACCTTTAGCTGACCATAGAAAGTAGAATGAAGAGTAACAGGCACTCAATGTAACAAAGACAGAAGGAACGAATTTGAAGTAGTAGGAAGACAAAAGGAAGAAAAACCCTCAAATATTCTTATCAATAATATAATAAATTTTAAAAAAGGTAGAAAAAATCTAAAGGAATGAATTGGAATAAAAAATAACACGAAATGAAAAATAATCTTAAGTAAATTACTATAAAGAAAATTCAAGCCATAAAATCAATAAAATTTTCAAGAATCAGAAGGCATTTCATTATGCTAGTCAAGATAAAGGTGACCGGAGCTATCAGAAACTTCAATCATTGTTAAGTTCCTGTTGGTAACTAACGTATGTGACCAGGAGGAAATGCAACACAGTGAATGGAGCTAATTGTAGTTTGACAATGATGTAGAACTGTAGTTCAACAAACCCAATGAGACAGATATAATTTGGTAAAATTGAACTGCATAACATCAGTAGTTAACAAAACTTATGATGGCCTCAAACTATTTCTCACCTCTTCTCCGCACTATTTTAATGAAGAATTGTCTGTCATAACGTTGTATCTAATCTATGACAAGAAAGTAATGAATAATGACAATTACTGGAGCAAATCCAACTACCCAATTCTTTGGGGCAGAAAAGACTGGTGCACAAATCCAACTTTTCAATTCTTTAGGGCAGAAAGGGCAACACCAGCAACTGTAAAAAAACAATCTTTTTTACTTTTGCCATATACATGAATGCCCAGGCAATTAATACCCAAAAAAATCTCCTATAAAAGCATTGAACAGTTTCTTTAATTCAAAACAAGACTAACCTGAACATTGAGTTCCCAACTAGAATAACCCACATCAAAAAAGGATGTATTTCAAAGATATTAATCTCTATGTACCATGTCAAAAGAGTTCTTAAAACTTGAATAAGGAAAAACTCCAATGAAGGGTAGAGAAGCAACATGGTATCACAATGAAGGAGAATGGCAGGAAAAAAAAGGAAAAATTGCAGGTCAAGTGAAGAGGAAGAATAAAAAAGGATGTGGAATAGCATAAATCAAGAAAGAAGTGATAATGACAAGGAAAAAACATCAAAACCAACAAGAAAAAGGTAAGGAAGATGATTTCTCATGCATCACTATAATCATCTGTCATTCAATTGCCATTGTTCATTGTCATAGTCAGATGAGGACCTCTTCACGTGAAGAAGGATAAGAGCAATTAGACGTCAAGGCTTTCGGTGAAGATTTAACCAACATAAGAACCCATGTAAAACTAGCAACCAACAGCACATCCATGATGCACATTCAGGAGCGAAGTCAGGATTTCATCTTTATTCTCTAATATATTACTTTAACATAAAACATAATTAGAAATAATTTTTAAAAAAAGATCAAAATTTCATTAAAAAATGACAGAATTGTAATTGGTTGTAAGCATGAATTATGAATTCTTCTGTCTGGGAGTAAAACTTGGTTTAGGAGTACAACCAAGAACACAGGGATAAAGAATTATGGATGTTGTTTCTATAATAAGTCAGGGCACATGCTAGAAGCAGATCAGAATTTTGTAACTAGTGCTATGTGATTGTCGAGGTGCAGACAGGAATGGGCTATTCATTTTTCTTATTGCCTTGATAAAGGACTTGCACTCGCAAGAAAGACCAGAAAGAGAAACACCATACAAACCTATACATAAGTTTCAGATGCAAGGGATGACGTGGTCCAGATGCAACATGTCTTCAGCCATTCTGACATCGAACCAACGTTATACATGAAAATTTATTTGCAACTTCCTACAAGACAGCCATGAGATAAAAGCAACAATCTATAATGTAAGAAATAGGGTGGACTAGGAGGTGCATATGCTTATGCAGCTGTATAATCTTTTTAAGAATGAAAAATCATGGAGATGGATCCAGCATTTTTTAAGTTATTAAGCTTTTAATGCCTAAATAGAAACAAGAGCTTACAGGGACACTTCAGTTGGTCACAAACAAATGTTTCAGCATGAAAGAACGTCACAAAGTCTAACAGAATCTAACAATTACATCGTGTGTTATTCTAAAGGTCATTCATCCAAAGTGTCTGGATTCCTCAAAACTATGAACATAATGAAGATCTTAATAAAAAAAGTACCTTGAATAACCAACAGATGATCGCATTTCAAATTACAAAGGCAAAGAAACTCAAAGTGCCTAGTACAGAAAATGATGCGATGGTCAAAACCAGGTAGATTGAGAAAAATGAAGGCCCTAGTATGGATTTGATTTAAATTCCATGGCATGCACCAACCACATGAAGAGATGTGTCAGACTGGTCTAATGCAAGATCATTATCAACTAGCAGGTCCTTACCAACACTGTAAAATCCCACATTTTTTGGTTTTTGCATCAAACAAGTTGAACAATCAAACCAGTCTAGGATTTTAAGCACTAGATCAAGAGTTTGACTCCAAGGGCCAATGGATAGACCCTAAAGAGACCGGAAGAAGAAAGAGATAAAGGGCATGGGGATGAAATCAAATGAAAAGAAGAAGAACCGGAGATCAGAAAAGAGAGTCCTCAAAGAAGCATTATTTAACATATGCATTTGTTTACACTTTTCATTCATTTCTTCTTCAATTATATTTTTTAACAAGGTTCGCAATTTCGTACCGTACCGAAATTTCGACGTTAGCTCGGTACAGTACGATACTGTATACCGAGCGGTATACCGCTCGGTATATATATATATATATATATCGTTTCGTCCGGTAATGGGCGGTCCATGTACCGGTCAGCTAACAGACCGATATGTACCACCCGTACCAGGTGGTATTATTCGAAATTGCATACCTTGTTTTTTAATACCCTTGCAACTGCCAATATAGATATTCAGTGTACAGATCGAGCAGCCGGAAAAAAAACCATAAACAGTAATTAAATTGTTTGGCATAGTGTAAAAGAGTATGTTAGTGAAAGATACTATGGATAATAGAAGAAAGCTAAAATGAGGATCAACGACAAAAATTAATAAATAATTGAGAGAATCAAAATTCTGAACTCCATCCTGAATTGTATTTGCTGATGCTCACACAGACACCCTCTATGCTAACTGATGAACTTCACAATTTCATCCATTCAAAAACAAAAGAATGCACCCCAAAGAAAATTATAAAAGAAGAAGATTAAAAAATACAAAAATCAAGAGATAAACAAGATCCTCTTCTAGAATGTCAATGTGTGCAAGGAAATAAAGAACGGTTTCAAGTCTTATGAAATCATAAACTAGAGAACAAGAAAATAGAGAGAGAACTAAGCTAAGAGATAGCTTTAGCATGCAGATGAAGAAAAACTGCATTTCTTAATTATTAGCAAGCTTCGAGATTATAGTGCCATATGATGGCAGAATGAAATATAAACAAACCTGATATTCTTGAACTTGTGTCAAGATCTTCATCGAGGACTACTGTCACAGGTTGATTTCTCCTAGAATGATTCCTTGCCTAAACCAACAAGGATAAATACTATGAATGTTAAAACAGATAAACCATGTGAAAGTAACAAGTAATGGAAAGATTAGATAATGTACAAACAAGTAATGGAAAGATTTGATAATGTACTATGAATGTTCAAACAGATAAACCATGTGAAACTAACTAGTAATGGCAAGATTAGATAATGTACAACCATTGACCGTGTAAGAAGATATCGGGAATGCTTACATCTATAGAATCATCATTCAAGCTTTCCCAATAAAATTAGGCTGTCAATGAAGCACGACAAGGGGGAGAAGAGGTAAAGCCAAATGTCTGACTGACATCAACAACCTAAAGCAGGAGATGAATTACAAAGAAAAAAGTTACAAGGCACGAGCAGGATTCTGATAGAAGGGGTGCCAACTAGGGAGACAAACCAAGCATGAACAAGGAGAGATAGTCTGATGGACATGGACAAGCCAAACAAAACCAACAAAACACTGAATAATTATAAGAATAATTAAAACTCACAAAATTATAACCACCTAAATCAACAAGTCATCAATCAAAAGTACAGTATGACAAACCAACCTGAGGAAACCCTCTTGGGGATGAGAGCATCTGGACCTCATCCTCGATGGCATCTACATCAATAAGTGAACTGTCTAAAACATCATAGGGCTGTGGGGCAGAACCCTGATGCTGTCCACTGGGATAAATATGCCGAGGATTGATGGAAGCAGATGTTCCTTGAGATGCAGCAGGGTGTCTGGAACCAGAAGATGCTTCTTGCTCATGGATCTCAAGAGGTGGAGAATTGAGATCTACATCTAGAACCATTTTGGATTGAATATTATCTCGGGCACTCCTCTTTGTAACCCGTCTCGATGGCCCAAGATTGGTCATGCTACGATACAATATCAATCACAGCTTTAGCTCATAAGTAAGCCCCACATTTACAAATAGCATGTAAACAGTACATCCAAGAGCGACCCTAATTTTAAAACTTCTCATCGAGAATCAAGAAAGCCTAAATCTTTTGGCAAGAAATAACCAAGAAAAAAAAAATGAAACAAAATTAAAAGAGTCATGTTAACAATCTTTAGACTTCACGTCAATCACAGCAGACCGATAGATTACGATACCGTCATGTTAATCACCACCAAAAATAGGAATTCAGAAAGAGTGCATACTCCAAGAGCCCAGAGGGAAAACAAAACAAATCTTTGTTATTGTGATACTAGAAAGAAACTCATTTTGGCACAAACTTTTTGAGTCAAGAACTTGCAGTATGCCAGAACAAGTCCCAAAATCCTCATACAAAACTACAGACAGAGAGAAAGAACAGATGTGTGACAAGTATCGTCTTCGGCAAAACAAAGGAAAAGCCATGAACAATCCGACCAAAACCCGATGAAAAACCAATTGAACTGAACAAGAAAAATTCAAGAATTCAAAGAAACTTCCAAATAAAAGACAAATTTTGGCGAAATTATCGAATCGAACCACAATAATCCAGGATTCTAAGAGCCGGAAAAGAAGTAAGCACAGACACCGAGGGGTACCGGAAAAAACCAACATTAGGGCTCAGGTCTGGAAGCAGACGGATGCGATTCTCCTCGGTTCTGGATTAGAACAAGGGCGACGACGCGTCGGAGGAAGGGCGAGCGAAAGATCAATGGAAAGGGGGCGAAAGGGGGCCAACTTGGTCTTCCACCCAGTCGTTGGAAAACCCCGAAAAAGGTAAATGTTGATGAAGCTACTCTCCAAGAAAAGGTAAATTTTGTTGAAGCTATCAAATTGAATCATAACACTGTAGGATTCCAGGTCCGTCCCCGAAACAAGAGGGACGGGATTAAGGGCTCAGGTCCGGAAGCAAGAGGGACGGGATCCTCCTCAGTTGTCGATCAAGAACAAGGGCGACGACGCATCGGAGGAAGGGAAGAGCGAGCGGAAGATTAAGTGGAACGGGAGCTAGAAGAGACCAAAGTCTTCTCCCACCCACTCGATATAGACCGCTCGGCCGCCAACCGGGCCGTCATTCAAAATAACGGGACGAAATCCTTTTAAAACCCCGTCACAACTCTTGTAACGTTCACCGAAATCGTTACAATTCGTGTAACGATCCTAACGTGTCGTCATAATCAGAGTGTGAAAATGACGGAATGGCAATTGCCACGATGAACGCAGGACAAGAGTTTTGTCTGCTACCATTCTGCGACATAACCACGAGAACTACCCCCATTATGATTGGGACGAAGCATCGCCCTCGCGGGGCCCAATGCCCCGTTGCTCTCTCTGATGGTGACGAACCCAACGTGGCGTTACAATTCGGGTCAGGCTTTGACGGAGTGGGCAATTGCGACAATGAACATTGAATAATCCTTCATTTGTTAACACCTGTGAACCATACCTGTTACAGCTACCCGCCTTAAGATTGCAGAGAGCAACGTCCTCAGTTTTTGCCTCTGCTAAGACGGCGGTATGTGGGCGGGTAAGTGGAAAATGGTTGATAATTTCTTTTATGACTCAGGATTAGTAAATATCCTATATTTTTTTTCATTTTGTGTATCATTTATCTTAATTCTTCCTCCGATTAGAAGTTATTTTCATGATTCGAATCCTAATTTTTAAGATTGTAAATGAATAATCATCCTATTGTACCATAATTTTTATTTATGAATAAAATAAATATCATATTATATATTAATATACTAAAAATGTATGCTACTAGGAATGCATGTGGTGCATGAATGAAAGATACTTCATTGACATTATTGAAAAAGGTACGGCATGGTTAGAGTGCGATGATGACATCAGATGGTGGCAGCACATGGTCGTAATATATATATATATATATATATATATATATATATATATATATATATATATATATATATATAGGTATTTTTTAATTTTAAATTTTTAAATTTTTTACAGGTATCTTACGCTCAAAACTTTCATCAAACCTATTGTCACCACTGTCGTTTTATCGGTGCTTATGATCCTTATGCAAGAGGGTCGAAAGCCTCCCTCCGTCACAAGTTAGGTAATCCCTTTTCACCATATAACCCTTGAGTGAGGTTTGTTTACCCCTCTCTATCGTGCGTGGGATTACCCTTCTACTATAGCTTTTATTTCTAGGGTTAGCTATTCCCATCCACCACACACGAGATCATCAGTATAAACTATTGGGATCTATCGAGAGCAATGATTGACACGATGAGCTAGATAGAAATGAGACGAAAAAGATAATCGACGAAAGAGTAAAATTATTATTTTAAAAAAAATATTATTTTAATTTTTTAAAATTAAGTACTCTCAGTGAGGAACTTTTTTCAGAATTCCATCAATTCCGAATCAATAAATATCAGCTGGTATGTTTTAGAAAAAAAAGAATATCCTGATTTGTGTCATTGAGCTTGCACTATAAACTCAAGTTCAATTTTACATATTAATTAGAGTTTAATATATATATATATATATTAATTTAATGATAATTAAAAATCTCTATAAACCACTGTGTCAAATGTATTCGACATGGGTTGTGGCCATAGACAGAGGGGTACATCAGTAATATTATTTTAGTTGGGGGACTGCACCACAAACAAATCTACTACTATTCATTCCTCTCTCTCTGTCTCTCATGGCTAACCCCTAAAGCCACAGGACACCTGCCTTTACCTGTGTTCTCTTTAGCATCTCGAACGGGTTCCTTGCCAAATCCGTGACCGATCTTTGGTCAGGAAAGACTTGGAACCAGAACGGATCCTCTCTCTCTCTCTCTCTCTCTTTCTCCTTGCTTGAGTGTTTGTTCGTTTCAGCCGCAGAAATAGGAGAAAAGGTACGTCTTTTCTTGAGATCATCGGCGTTCTAGTCTCTGATTTGACTCCATAATCTTCACGAAGAAGTGGTTCCTCAAGTCTCTGTGCCATCTGCCTTCGATCCCAGAAGAAAAGATCCTTCTTTTCGATAAAAAAAAGCGGTTTATCTGAACAAAAGTAGGTTCGTTTTCTCTCCTTGTTTGCCAAGAAAAGGCTTCATTCTACTAAAAATGGGTTTTTGTGGCTAGAAAATTAGGTCGCTTTGTGGAAGAGCTGTCTTTTATGGGGAGGTTTTCTTGCAGTTGAAGCAGTCTTGGGGGCTTGTAGGATAGAGGGAAATGATTCAGCTGCTGTTCCTGGTGCTCTTCGCGGAGGGGGCGGTGGCACTGATTCTAATGTGGAAGATTGGGCCACTTCGGGAGCTGGCGATGAGGGGGTTGGACCAGTTGAAGACAGGGAAGGGGCCGGCGACGGTGAAGACGCTCGCGTGCACAATGTCGGTGATCTTGGCGTCGAGCGTGGCCAGCATTCTCAAGATCCAGAACAGGGGCGCAAAGCTTGGAACTGTCACCCCAATGGATCAAGTCTTGTGGAGGACCCACCTAGTTGAAGCCTCGCTCATCGGTATGCAGTATTTATTTGCCATTTATGATGTCTGCAGAATATTAATATTTAACACCGTGAGGAGTAAACGAGTTTTTCAAAAAAGACACGATCTTTATGAGATTTATGCAGTTTGGGTGCACAGTATTTGTGTATCATTTATGATGTCTGCATAATATTGACATTTAAGCAAACCAGTCCGTCAAAAATAACATGATCTTTGTGGATATGGCCACCCTGAATGAAACGTGATTTAACATTACAGTGGTCATAAAGCACTAAAGTCCATCAAAAGGGTAAGAACAAGGCTGGAAATTGTGCTAGCTCTGGCTCTATGTCCCCTCGAGTCGATATTTACAGAGTGTGAAATTAAAATTTGTGGGGGCTCGAAGTCCAGAAAGTAAAATTTTATTTAACTTGTTCGTGGAACCAACATAAAAATGTTGTGCAGAGTCAGTTGTCTAACATCTAATTTTTACAGTTTATTTTCAATTTTTCATAGAATTGTTGAGCTTTTTTAAACTCTCCGGATCATCTAAGCCTTATCTTTTTCATGCTGACTTTAATGTGCCATCTCTTTTCTTTTACTATCTGACTACCTAATTGTGATCCTCCTTCTGTAGTTAATAGAAAGTACTTGATGTAGTAAGAATATGATAGTCTCAATTTCTTTCTTTTTCTGTTATTTATTTTTGGATGAAATTAGCCATTGGTTTGCCAGAGGATCGTATGAGATCTATAATTCAACTAATGTGAATTGAGTGAAAATGATAACTGGTTATCTGGAAATAACATGGTCAGGGAGACGAGCAGACATGATCAGTCTACTCACTCTATCAAAGAGTATTTAGTTCGTTTTTTATTGTACCAATTCACCTTCTGTTTGGATGAAATAGTTGTTGGATAATATTCAATCCCCTGATGACTAACATTTTTTGAGAAGTAGTCTGCCTGTTTGTTTCCTCCTGTATGTTGCTTCAGCAATAAGTTCCACGTATCTGGGTTTCGTTTTCTTAAGGAAGAATGGTCTTGAATATACTTTAGACATTCGTAATGATATAAATTTTTAGTCTCACATCTAGACCACTATATGTACTTTTCTCTTCGCATACACATGTAATATTTTTACGTAATCCTCTATTGGTGATATTGGATGGGCGTCCAATAAGTTTATATAATAATAATGGTGCTTCTGTTGCACATATAACTTTGTCTATATTGAATAACCATGTGACCAGATTGATAACATTAATATGTCTTAGGTGCTCCAGGTTTCCTAGAGAATGTTATCATTAACACTTGTCTATATGCTTGTTGCTGTAAGATACTAATTTCTTTATCCACCAAATGGTACAAGTCTGGACAACAGTGCAGTTCGGTTGCAGAACTGTGTACTGACTTAATCAGATTGTGTCTCATTTTTGGATACATGCTACTTGCTATAAGTTGCTTATTTCTTTGTCAGTCAAATGGTGCAATGCTGGTAAAGAGTTTTAGTTCAGTTACAACACTGTTTGTTTATGACAATATTTTGGGTTAACTAATGAGGCTTTTGCAGTTATTTTATTTTTTTGCCTTAATTGTATAATATATATATTTTTTGTCATTCATGGTTGCCAAAATTGCCTTTTGACGCCTCCTTAAATGAAGTCACTGTGGTCATGCATATCCTTCTCTTTTATCTTTCTCCCTCCTTTCCCTGTTTGATGGAGTTGTGTGCCTGCACACATAGGACTTCATATTCTAGCACTAGCCATGCTTCTAAGCGAGAAAGTTGAGGTGGGACTTGTTTTTGAAGTTACTAAATCTTTCATTAGGATCATTACCTTGAAAAATAAGGTTTCTTTGTGATTTGCCCCACTGGCATTCCATAAGGGGAGAAAGGGATGTTCCTTGATAGTGGCGAGTGTTTATATTAACATTATGGATGCTAGGATCTCCAAAATAGAGAATTTGGGTTAATTGGTAAGTTGGAATTATTTTGTAAAAGCATTTGCACATACCTCTGTAATTAATTATTTTGACTTGAATAACTAATAATCTAATTTGATTCTGTCAGAGGAGCTGCTCTGTTCCATCAGAGGCTTCTGCTTGATAATCTGATTATGGTCATATGTGTTCTGCAAAACTACCTCCTATCTCATCAATAACCAAATTTGCACGTTCTTTCTTTAAGATTCGGTCAATGCATACCGTTATATAACATGACTATGTCAATCTGACAAGGTGTTACAATTACTTTTAAACTCTGACTTGGTCGACAAGTGCCATGCATGGCTAAATATCTCTAGAACACACAAAAGAAAAGCACTGCTCGTGTACCAAGGATGTGAATATAAATTTTAGGGATAAATCTATCCAAGAAGGTGGTGTTCCATCTGATTTGCCAAATCCATAGCCTCAACTTGTGGAACCTTACCATCAAACTCCTCCGCACTCTTCGCTTAACATCTTGACATGTTATCTATGACTCGTTCACAATAGATTAACCTGGTCCCATCAGTAAATAGCGATGGTTGATCACAAGGCTTCAATTTGGTTCCTCCATGTTCATGACCTAATGGGATTATGGTCTTCATCCTACAGACAGTATGCTGAATCATATCTTCATCTATATTACATATGGAAATGAATATCTTGTTTTTCTTAATGAACAATATTGAATTCTTATTTACTGGCTGACAGTTCCGCTAACAGCATCACGTTTTCTGCTTTATGCCTTCTCTTATGGTTGTTGAACTTTGAGTCCTGTTCTGTTCAAAGTATTGAGATCTCCATTACAACTGTTTGATTTTGCAGGCTACACTCTTTTTCTTGCTTTAGTGATCGACCGTTTGCACCACTACCTTAGGAAGTTGATCAATTTGAGAAGAACAGCTAATTCATCCCAAGAAGAAGTTGAGAATCTTAAGAAAGAGCAACAAAGGTTTAAAGAGAAGGAGGAGACATCTTTAAATGAGATAAAAAAGCTCCATGAAGAGGTAGCGAGTTTAAAGGAGAGGCTGCAGAAGTTAAAGTCAGAGTCGGCGGAGCATGAGAAAAGGGCAGAGACAGCTGAAGCTCATGTCACCGCCCTTCAAAAACAGTCTGAAGAACTGCTGCTTGAATATGACCGCCTGTTGGAGGACAACCAAATCCTTCAGACTCAGGCTTTAGCATTCAGAGGTTGAGCCTCATGTGACCTCGTTTTGGAGCATCTATTCCTCAGGTGGGCATAATCATGGAGAGAAGTATGTCTTTTGTCTCGGCACGTCAATATTGTTAACATGAGCTTGTTATTGATCATATGTTGCTTGAAGCGTGCCCGTCGTATCTGTTTCTTTCCATTTGTCCACCATGAACTTCGAAGCGTAAGAGATGAGCTGCCTGATCTGAACTATAGTGTAGAATCTACATTCTCTAAAATGTTTTTGGCACCATTACTTGGAGCAAGTCCCTAATGATGTACTGTTTTTGTTTGGTCTGTGCTTGAGGACATCACCTCAAACTCCAATTCCTGGTATATTTTGTAAGAGCAGTTCAAGGGCATTGAATTGAATCTAGAATCTATTCTAGTCTTAGTATATTGACTTGAATCTTTGATCCATCAAATAATAATTTGAAAATTTATCTTGATAAAAAGTTTTGAAACCCTTTCTTGAATGACATGTTGAATCTCTTTCTTGATTGTCCAAGCTTTATAAATTTATTAGTAGTATTAATTATTATTAATGTTAGTAGTATTAAAAGAGGTAGAGAAAGATTTATGAAAAAATTAATATCAATTTATGAATAAAAAATAAAATATTCTTAATTTAATCATGCTTTCTGTAGAGCTCAAATAGCAATCGATCCAATTGTTGGAACATTGCGGCAATAAATGAGTCCTAAAGGGTGTGTTTAAGTAGCATTCGTTGCTCTTACAATCACTTTCATATAGTCTTTTAACATTAAATTAACTATTACTCGAATGATGTGATGTTCATATCACATATGCTGAAGTTTTTAGATATTTATACTTATTGGAATATGAAGGAATTTAATTACTTTGATCTTTCTAGCCAAGTTATGGATGCCCAGAAATAATGATCTAAGGACACAATTGGCATAATTTATATAGATTTTCTACTCTACTTGTGTTAGAATATTTTGGAGGAGCTCAAGAGAGTAGGTTTCAAGAAGACCTTTGAGGATGACTACATCTGAATCTTTAAGGGTGAAATCATATCATATAAAGCCCAAATTAGATGTTAAAGCTCCATCATAATCAATAAAATAATTAAAATTCTGATACGGTCAAGAAAATTTTGATTTAATATTATTAATCGACCCCTTAATAGTATTTACATGAAGGAATAAGTTGTTATTGCAGAAACTATCTTTCTTCAAAGAGTTGAGGTCTCCATATGAAGGTTGCGAAAATACAAGCATTGCATCTCATGCATGGTTCTCCAAGACCATTAAGGAGACAAGACAAACTGGGAATTAGACCCATTACCAAATTACAAGCAGCAAGAACAAGAGAGAAGATACTTGTTCATCATCTGTTGAGATATTCCAGACCAATCTGCAAAGGGAAGATCTGCTACAGGATGACAGTACCTGTTCATCGTCTGTCGCAAGATTCGCTTGATTCTTTCTTTCTGTTCTTATAATAAAATCTGAGTCTGGGACATGATTACCTTAATACAGAACAACAGTTTTAAATCTAAAGCACATCATATAATAACACCAGCTTCTAATACAGCTTCTAGTAAAAGACGACAACATAGTGCTCCCCCATGTATGCAAATAACCCTCAGCGAGGTGTCTCCACCTGCAGTGGCAACATCGGGGACGTTGCGCTGGTGCTTGTACCACTTCTTGGCTGCTCGGAGACAGCCCTCAGACCCAACTGCTGCAGTTGGTGGACAACATGCGACATCCGTGGTCGAACTGACGGGACATGCTGGGTGCACGCGTACACAAGATCCACCACCTTTTGTATCACGCCATCATCGGGAATGTCAGAAATGAGTGGATCGAGGAGTTCAACATACCTATGGGACTGAACAAGCGGTGTCGCCCACTCAAATATTGTCTGCCAACCCACAGATTCGACGGCCTGGCCTGGCCGCCGGCCACTGATGATCTCTAGCAGCAGCACACCGAAACTGTACACATCGCTCTTGGTTGTCAATTCATTTCTATACATAAATTCTGGAGCAAGATATCCATAAGTTCCTGCCATCTTTGTCCTTTCATGCATCACTTCCCAAGGTACAAATTTAGAGAGCCCTACACCCATCAGATGTGATCCAAACTCTTCATCAAGAAGCACATTGCTAGCTCGAATGTCACGGTGTACAACTTGTGGCTTCACCTTGTCATGAAGAAATCTGCAATTATCCGCATTTACCTCAGTATTAATAAAAAGATGCTGAATGTTTGAATAAATGAAGAACGAGTCGTTCTAACATCATCTACTCCATAGTCCAAATGCTATAATGATATACAACTAAATGGAGTACGTTATCAAGAATATGTCAAAGATGATTCCATGTGATGTCCTCAATAGTGGGAGCTTACTTGATGTGAAGCACATAGGCCGTCATATTCATCAAGCATACCCTTAATACTTATTAGTCATGCATGTTCTCACCATATCCTTCAGCCATAACTAGAAGTCTAGGATGCTCATATTAACATGACAACTTAGGTCATCAGGCAAAAGGCACGGAACTGACAAAATTCCTTTTCCATTGTCAACCTCTACCTATGATTCTAATCTGTATATGACATTGAAATATGCAAACACTATTTAATTGCATATTTTAGTTGGCCAACAATTGCATCGGGACTATAAAAAACTATATGTTGAATTACACCGAAACAACTAATAAATCATGCAATTATTTGTTCCAAAAAAAAAAAATTTAAAAACACATTTGTTCTGTGGTTTCAATTCAACTAAATAGTTCTTTATCAACATAAAACTAGAATATCTGACAATGTATAACCAGAGAAGTTGCATCACAGATGGAAAAACATGATGACTCATGATCATGGTTCTCTGGTTATCAAACTTGAGCAAGGCTTGTAACGATCTCATCTTAGTAGTGTACATAACTATTTCTTTTAATACCTTGACGAGAAAAGTGACTATAGTTCCAAAAGTTTTTAGTTACAACAAACTCTTCCTTCTATTAATCTAACATATTGTAGGATCAAATGGCAAAACAAAAACAACTTGCTTCTGAAAACAGGTAATCAGTACATGCTTCAGTCATTATTAATTAGACTTACGCGATTCCTTGCGCAAGAGTTGTGGCAACTCTGATTCTCATAGCCCAATCCAAGTTCCTACCACCTCTTGGTATGTGGTGCAGCCATCGATCCAATGGTCCATTAGCAACAAACTTGTAAACAATATAGCGATCACCATGATCATAGCAACAACCTTTAACTGCCACCAAATTAGGATGGTGAAGTTTTGCAACTCTTCCAACCTCAGAGTAGAATTCCTTCTTCCTTTGAAGGCTATACCTCTTTAGTCTCTTAACTGCCACTCGCGAGCCATCAGACAAGAACCCACTATAAGTTCCACCTGTTTTGGCATCCCCAATAAGTCGATTTCCTTCACTAAAGTTCTTTGTAATTGATCTCAACTCTTCACTGGTGAAAACTTTCCATGATGGAGGAACTAATGCAGCTGCTGAAGGACTAGAAATTTTGCGAGATCTTCTGCGTTTCTTGCTTCGCCTATATACAAGGAGCCATATGACAAGAGCCAGGGTGATGAAAAGAATTAATCCACTTACAGCTGCAAGGATGATAAAATACTCCCTATGGCAATGCTTGTGGGAACATTTGCTTTCTGTTATCAATCAAAATTGTACCTTGGTTAAAATAGTGGCAGTGCTGAACAAAATACCTAAGTTCACAAGGGACACATCTAATATTGAATCTGCAAATACCGGACAAAAAACCAAAACTAAAATATTTCGGATAATTCATTGAAATTATTTGCATTACTTTCCTAATGTAAACAGGGGGAATTGCAAAATGAACTCAGATTTAAGAACTTGATTAAGAGGGAGATAGTCAAGCAATACCTCGACCAAGCATGCAAATAAGTTCATGAGATGTATTGCATCTTTCACCGACGAAAGCAACATGGCCACTAGTTACCAAAGTACATGAATCAGTTGGGCTAATGCTGTTGCATGAAGCTCCCGTACAATTAACATGAAAAGGTTCACCAGGGAAAACTGATTCATTCCAACTTGACGTGTTGTCAGACCATTTCCAACCAAACCCTAACGTAGAATTATAACCACGCCCGCCAACCCAACATCCAGTGCTGCTTCCGGCACATAGGCTCTGTGCAAGACTCAATTCCTGAGCTGAAGTGAGGGCAGCCAAATGACCATTATGACTCTGACAGAGTTTCTCTGACTTGATCCATGAAAGGGAACTTGCTATATGTATGAAGCATTTGTTCTTATTGGGACCGACATACCAACCAGATGGGCAAAATGCTGCTAAAAAAACAACAGAAAACAAGTATAAAACATCTGAACTTCTTCCAGGTAGGATAAAAAATATCAATAGTATTGAAATTCAGATGTGCTAGTACATGTGATCATGATAATAGTAATACAAGTTTGCTTTGGTACATACAGAATAGCATTTACCAACAGCTACAATTAGTTACACTGACAATAAGAAAAAATCAGGTCATAATCTGAATGGTGGTTTATAAGGAGTTAGTTCTCTTCTCACATTAATTAACCATCTTATTAGTGGATAACCAATTAATGATAATTGTAACCTTTTTCTACTAGGTGACATGCTCAGTTCATATTGTTCATTCTTATACGATTTCAAACAATTGCAAAGTAAATTTCATTCTGCAACCATCAAGACATTAATAGAATAATTCCCTCAGGTTAGCTTGGATCAGTATGAATCAATACAACACTCAGAAAAAGGACATATGCAGCAGCCACTTATTACAAGTGAGTTGGAGAAGACTTTGTTAAAGAAGCATCTTCACTTCATGGAATGCGTTCGTGGCTTCCATGGAGTTTGCAATGATGGATCCTAAATGACCATAATTAGAGTACAAGTGCTCATAAGCTGATAAGACACTCTTTCAAGTACAAGAACTCATGCTGGAAAACAGCAAAATCCATTTTTAAAAGTAACCACTTTAATATTTTTTAATCTCCAAAAAGACTTAGTATTCCCAAATTCTGTTATAGTCTTTGTTATATCTTAGCTGACGTTTATATGGAACTTCTGACTAATTCAATCACATTGTTGAATTAGTTTACGTCGAACAGAATTTTTATGCCTGAAAAAGTGAAGATTCCACCATATCAACAGACAAAGGGTACCATAACATGATACACCATAAACTGAAAAACAGTAGCATCCTCTTTTCCTCAAGGAAAGAGGAAAACTCATTTAAATTCGGATCAATGTGTTCAATCTAAATTCTGATATTTAAAACTACCACAATATGTTAAATACCTTGAAATATCTAAGATGACTAAAATATCTACTCTCAAAACCTAGATCAAATGCAACAGAATATCTGATCATTAATATACTACTGAGGTTACTTAAAATAGAGCACATATCCAAAAGAGTTTAAGCTCCAGAAATATAATTCACCAAAATTAATTTTTTAAAAAAGAGTTTGATGGGTGTTTTCTTGCTATTGCAACACGGTATCTGTTCCACTTGCAAAGAAGAGTCGTTCAAGGTCATCCGTCTATACTCGTAACTGCTCAGATACGAGCAATCTCAATATTTTTCTCATCGCCATGTTTGCCTTTCCAAAATTTGCCATGTTTGTTCTGAAAAGTGATTCCTATTATTAAATGGGAATTTGATTAGATCAAGATGATTTTCAAACATGCTAGTCAACAAACAGAGTATCATGCACACCATCAGTCTTTTTGGTATTCTCGGCAACGAACAGAGAAATAAAAAAATTATTAAAGGAAAACCCACCACCTTAAGGACCCTATTCACCAGACAACATGAAACAGGAACATACAGAGTGGTACTCTATGGAAGAGCTTAAAGGAAAAATGTAAGCTGGAAAGTGTTAGAACTCTTTTCTTAACATTACCTTTAGTCAGTTGCAAAGACCACGAATCTTTGGAGAGATGAAGCATGAACATGTCACAACATATGCACATAAGTGTTCAATGAAGACAAGAAGCTCCATTTATTCATGTACTATATGATTGCTAAGACTGTCCTCCAACAAATGATTACATACCAATTCCAATACTTCCATAATACTCGAGAGATATTTTCTTGAAACCTTGGTGTAGTGGTCTTATTCTAGATGATTTTCTAACGATGGACAAGTGCTCTTTTGCCATGTTAAAATTGACTGTGCTAATGTTTAAGCAGACACCTTTTGGGTAAATAGCTTCTTTTGCACGAAGACAAATCAGTGATGCCCATGTGATTGTTTCTCGTCATGTACTTTACAGTTTGAGTACTAAAAAACTGGAAGCTTCCCTTAAAAAGACCACAAGCGCACAGAACGCATGTGATAATATTCTCAATTATGAGTTTTGATATACGCCAGTCTTGAAATATGATGAGCAGATACAAAAATCATAAATTATCCATAAATCCTCCATTTTTAACGCTGTGTGTACCTCGACGCAGTGAAAAATAACAATTTTGATGAACAAAAATTGAAATATAAAACATCAAAAGAAATATCACGCTTTGAAATCAGCACCCAATAATGCTATCCTTGCCTACACTTGGATAATGTAGACCTAAACCACCACTCACATCCTAAAATCTCAACAATGAAAGAAAACCAGTGACGACGCCACCGTCAAGCTCAAGAAGAGGTGAAGCCCTAGCCAAATGCTACCATCAAACTCGACGACTTCAAGAAAAGGCGCCAGCTGTAGCAGATTCGATGGTTCATTCGATTCCGACCGCAGAGGCAACAATAACAGGGAACGAAAAAGGGAAAAGATACAAGGTAGGGGAAGGCAAGCAAAGAAGGGTGGTAACTCACAGTCTTGAGCTGAGATGCAACAGATCGAGGCGGCGAGGAAGATGCAGATGAGGCATGAGGAGCGGAAGACACCTCCTCCCCTCGCCATAGCAGGACACGAAACCCGTAGGAATTGATGGCAAGAGCAAGAGAAGGATGTAATCAAGTATGAGAGGTAGTGAAGGAAACGGATCTTTAGATCCTTCGTCTCCACTTCATCGTCCTCTTCCTCCTCCCCCTCCGCGCTTGCCGATCTATGTCAGTCTACCACAAGTCAAAGGCAGCATTTTTTTTGGCAATTAATTCAGTCGTATTTTTTTCTCGTAATTATTCATTTAGCCGCAAAAATGAGTTTTTTTAAATCTAAATCAATATTGAAATATGCATAATAATGGAAACCATTATATATGTATATATATAGGGGTAAATATGCTATTTGCTAGCTTTAAAAGGACAGATTCGTAAAAAGCCTGAAAGAAAAATGAAGGGATCGAATTTGTGATTTATAGAAAATTGGGGAAACTTTTGCTAAATTAACACAACGTTTCCACGTGACGGTGGAGAAAGGCGAAACCGTAAGAGGCGCCACAAAGCAAAGGCCGGGCCGTGCTGCTGGGCCCCACCCCGCCCATCAAATATGCTATAAGAGGAGGACGCGTGTCCTCCTCGTACGCGATGGAGGACCACGGCTGTCCGTGCCTCCTGGTACGTCCCCAACACGCGACCAGCGTCCTCATCGCCCTCCCCGTCCCTCCTTCAAAACCCACCCCATCAAAGAAAGAGATACGAGACGATAGAAGGAGACGGTCCGCGTTTGTATCTCCGAGAAGCTCGGCCGGATCCGATCGGTCTCTTCCCACCCGCACCTGTTTCATGTCTCGTGCCATCTTTCGCCCTCCCTTTGACTTGCTTGGATTAGCGCGGGATTTGGTGGTGGGCGTCCGCCTACAAAGTCGCTGGGGCTCCTAAAAAGGTTTGAGTATTCTTTTGGCGATTCTTTGCCGCGAAAGGTGTTATTAGGAAGATTTAATTGCTCCGTTCTGGTGATAGTTCCGTTCTTGTTTTGATGAGGTGGTCATGTAGGAGTTTTCTTAGAGGCTAGGGTTTTGATCTCAAGTTTGGTTTTTGATAAGAGTCTCTTTGTTAATCAGTGGTAAGGGTGTCAATAAATATCTTCACGCTCGATTTCTTTGCGTTGTTACTGTTATGCTGCAGGAGATTATGGAATTCTCTCTCTTTCTTGATGGGGGTCATATTTGGTTTGTTTTTCTTTTTTGGAGATATTGTTGGAAGTGCAAATTGTTAGTGTGATTGATTTTATAAGCAGATTGGCGGGAGTTACTTAAGCCTTACTTTGATGATTAGTAGCTGTTTGTATGATTGGTTCCATAAGCAGTTTCGTAGGAGCTAAATGAATCTCATTTTGCTGATTAAGATTTTCCGCCCAAGTGTGGTTTCATTTGTGCAGTCGTAGCTTGTTAATCACTAGCAATGGATCCATATGTATATCTATAATCGTTTGTTTTCTTCTGCCACTGTTATGAGATTATGCAATTTGCTCTCCTCAAAATGAAGATATCCTTTTTTGTTTCCTTCTGGGGCAGATGATTGTGAGATGGTGCTTTGAGTTGGTTTTGGTTGACAACGAGAGAGAGCACGCTGGTCTGCACTTATGCAGGGGGACATGAATGTGTACTTGCGTGCTTTCTATCGTTGTCAATCATTGACATGGCGCCAAGCAGTTTGCTTTTGTTCTTATGGCTCGCATGCAGGAAACTTTGCTCTAAGGGAGGCGTTCGTATCTCAGTTGAGAGGTCGGTATACATCTACTTCGATATTGAAACTCTTGCCTTTTGAATTCATGTTGAATCTTATCCATTTCCTTCCTCATGGTTACTTGGTTTTATTAACAGTGTGGTGATTAACTCTCGTATAAGTTCTAGATTTTACTTCCCTAATTAAGTGCTATGAATCAACTGAACTGGGTCTAATAAAATGCAATGAAAATCAAAGTCAGATTTTTATATTGCAAAATTTTCAATTTTGATGAATATGTTGTTTATTGATATCCAATGTCCTCAAGGCATCTATGTGATCCATAAGTGGAAAAAAACCCTATTTGCATACGTAATGTCTAATTTTCTATGCTGCCATTGAAAATTTGAAGAAACTCCCATTGAGAAAGACCCCATTTGCATGAGTAAGGAATTTCATTTAAAAAATTTGAAGAAACTCCTATTGAACCTAAATGGTTAAATAAATGATTATATTTTTTGAAAAATCAAATAGTTAGTTGATCTGACAAAAGTGATGCATAACAATAGTCATATATTTGCAGTGTTGTCAAAAGCGCTATGCGCTATTATCCCAAAATGCTCGAGGCGTCTTGCCTGAACGAAATGAGACACTCTCAAATATTATAATTTTAAAATTATATATCATAATTAATAAAAATAAATTAAAACTAAAATAACACATCAAACTCCCCGTATTTGTTTCTCCTCCTACCTCTACCTCGTTCACTGTAGTCACTAGAGGAAAATGTCACTAGAGGAAGGGGAAGAAGTCACTAGAGGAAGAGACCGCTGTTACTCATCAGAGGAAAATGTCACCGTTGTCGTCGTTCGTCGATGGGAGGAACTTCGTCGCCATGCAGAAACATAGTGGGAAATAGAGGTTTTTGCATTAGGGCATGGCTTGTGTGGGTGTTAGAGGCTTGGAGCATTAGGGCATGACTCGACTCAGGCTTAGAGCACTGCTTGACTCAAACTCGTGTGGGTGTTAGAGGTTTGGTTTGATTTAGGCTTGGGCAAGTTTGAGTTGAACCAAGCGAGCACTTGACTCGCCTAGCACTTGGGCCTAGGCGAGTGCCTTGGACGTGCCCGAGTGTCGCCCAGCCTAATAGGTGGGTGCTTGGGCCACGCCTCGCCATGCCTAGGCACCTAGGCGAGCACTCGGGTGCCCAATGACTTCACTGCATATTGGTCAAACCTATATTGGGCCATAGAGCTTCGTATTAATTGATTTTCATTTTTAATTAATTTTTTCAATGATATTTTAATGGTACAAGTATACAAGTACCAAATTGATCCTATAGTTTATTGAAACTTGGATTCAATGATGATTAAAACTTTGTGAAAAATTGGAAATATAATGCTTGTAGATGTTTCTCCATTAAATAAAACATGTCATTGCTAGGCATCTAGGAAAAGGAAACATAAAATAATGAAATGAAGCAGTTCAATTGCAAAAGATATATAACTAGAAGAAAAATAACAAGACTAGGTAAGATAACATCAAAAGGGAAAAAGAAAAAATGACGAATGAAAAAAAAATCTAATAATAATTGCAACAGTGCAGAAAGCAACAGCAATGGTGTACGACAAAAAAAAAGCAGATATAATCCATGATGACATTAAAGCAAAAAGCAACAAAAAGAAGAAAGGCATTTAAGTAGCAATATCAAAAAATAGCAGCAAAATGTGAAGTAGAAGGAAACAGGTTGCTGCCACAGCAATATTGCAAAGGTGAGAAGAAAAGAAACTAATGCTAACGTGAAAAAAAAATGAAGTAGAAGCAATAACAGAAAAGGATCGGATATGGACCACTTGTGGATTGGAGATAGATCATCCTTCATCCAGTTTGTATCTTACACATCTAGAACCCTCATTATTTTTCGGTTACCTAGCCAATAAGCTGATATAGCCAAATTGTGGCACCATTAATCATATATTGTATTGCCCTTGCTCCGTTGTCTCTCTCTAAGACATTTTGAGCCTCCTTGGATAACCTAAACGGTTGAAATTTTCTTTCAATGATCACATATTATGTTTTTTATTGTTTTCTCATATTATAGAATAGACGAAAGTTGAATTTTCTTATAAATGCCCTGATATACCTATTTTTGTTGAAATGCCAATGTACATATGTTTGTTTTATTCCCTTCAATATATATATTTTTGGTTAGCACACTCTTAATGGAGCTTATACAATAAACCTTACAAGTTGTTCCTTGGATTAGATACATATAAATAGAGGTGAGTTTTTAGAATTAGTGGTGCAAAGAGAGGCACAGAATAAACTAAGAAAACATTATTAAAAGAGATTGTTTGCTCTTGATTTAAGTAGAGATATTTCCTTTATTTAATGGTGAAGAAAATTCTATTTAGCCAAATTTAAATAGTTAAACCAATATGGTTTGTTCTTGTTGTATTCATTGTGTTAATTCAAATTGTTGTAAAGAAATAGGTTGCTAGAGTCCGCAGGAGTGACCTAAGATCCAACAATCATTATTCCAATTGTACAAAGAAATATTGAGTATGATGCACCTTTCTGTCAAAAGGATCACTATGGGGTATTGTGCCATTACAAAATAGGTTTAGCCAAGTATTTTAACAATATGAATACAGGAAATCAAGGATTAATATCTCAGTCTGATTCAGATTGGCGGTTAGATTGGTACATACCAATACTGCTAGTGTACCAAGTGCTGGTAGGGGTCGATACCAGTTGGTATCAACTAGATTATTGCAAGCACAAGAGAGAGAGAGAGAGAGAGAGCTACGTGCCTTTAAAGATGGAGTGGAAGACACCAGAGGATGTAGGAGTAGAGTGGAAAGACTGATTTGGTGAGGGTTGTTGGCTAGCCACGGAAGCTATGGTGGCGGAGGGTGAAAGAGAAGAGAAGGGGAAATGAGGGATTGAGGCTGAGTAGATGGGAAGAGAAGGGGTCAGTGTCCTGATACAAAATGGTAGGCTTACTGCCCGATACAACTCTTTATTTCTCAGATTACCGCTTGGTAAGCTCAATACGACAAGCATACTAGTTATTAGGTGAAACCACTGTATCATCTAGGAGTGGAGCAAGGATGAGGATTCTCTCTAATCATATTTTTGGTTTGAAGCATCCAATTCTCACATCTCAACCTTCTCATTAGTTAATCCTTGTTTATTGTCCACAAAATTTAACCTCCTATTGCAAATATAAATGGTGTTATGACAATGACATTATATAATAGACAGATTAATTTAAATGGTGGATTGAAGGGTATAGCAAAACCAAAGAATTTATAAGTCACAAGTAAATATTATCAAGTTTTATGAATGGATGCTAAATAGTGATTTAAATAGGTGCTCGGATGCTCACCTAGGTGCTCGAGCGAGGGGAGAGAGGCCTGAGCGCCTCATTGGTGGACCAAGCGGTGCGCTTCAATGAGGTGCTGTTCGGGCGAGCGCTCGTTTCAAATAAAGCAATCGAACTAGACTTTTAAATTTGACTCAGTTCAAGATTAAACGAACTAACCAGTAATCGAACCAACTAACTAGTTTCTTACTTGCAAAAGCCAGAGCTAATTATATATTACCCCTTGTAATTAGCTATTTTTAGCAGCTCGGTTCATACACTTTCAAAAATTATATTAGGTTCTTTATACTTACGAAAGTGAAACATTAAGATCCCTATACAAGATTAAAAAGGTAATTTCATAGGGTTAAAAAATCAAGAGAGAGAGAGAGAGGGATTTTATTGGAGCAATAGGGTTAATTACATAGGATAATTTGTAAATATTTTACTTTCCTAAGTATAGGGATCTCAATATAACTTTTGAAAGTATAAGGACCGAGATGTTAAAGGTAATTAATTACATGAGATAATTTGTAATTAGCCCCAAAAGCCACTCTTGCATGCTCGCGCGACCTCAAGCCAACCTTAGCATTGCTTCTGCCTCCATTGTTGAAGCTTTCTATCATTACCTCCGCCACAGATGCAGCAGACCGAGCCTTCTTTTATCACCGACGGATGGGTCCGATGACCTAACAAAAGCCCGTAGTTTCCTTTTGCCACCACTCCATGTGTAGTTCCTTTCACCATCGAGAGGACCGTAGGTTCCTCCGCCACCGACGGACGACCTCTGGAGCTGCCGTTGCTGTCGCTGTTGTTGTCCGTAGCTTTCGTTGTTGTCGTTCGCAACTTCCTCTACTTTTGCGATTGACTTAAATTGAATCCTTCACTACTGTTGTTGTTGTTGTCGTCCGTAGCTTCCTTTGTCACTGTTGTCTTCTCTTTCCCCACTTTCCATTATCGTTGACACCTTTTCTCCCCCTCTACTACTGTTAACAGTTCTTTTCTCTTCCTTTAATTATTGTTAATAATAAATAATATATTATTAACAGTAGATTATTAACTACTATACAAAATAATCTTTATTTACTAGATTGATAATATACTATTTAGATTTTAACATTGTTAATCTTTATTTATTTAAAATTATTATATTATTTATTAATTATATTATATATTTTTATATTTTTATATTTTAGAGCATCTCGCTTTGCTTGAGAAAGCGCCTAGCGCTTTGCCAAGCTCCTAATGCTTTAGTCATTTTGGGACCTTGACGTTTTTTGACCCTTAATGTTTTTTAAATTACTGATGCTAAATAACCTTATAAAATTTAAAATTTTAGTATTTTTTCTTTCTTAATTAATTTTCATATGTTTCATTTAAAAATTAATAAAGATGGCTGATCCTGATCGCATTGATCTGATTCAACCAATCCAGCTAATCTCACACAGTCTATGGCCAAATCCTGATACCAGCCATCATGATCCTGTGAACCTTGGTGTGAAGAACAACCAAGTCAACCAATTTGTCAGCTTGAATACAGTTTGATTATTACACAATTTAATGTGTTGTACAACATATTAAACTGTTAAATTTTGGGTACTAGAAAGTAGGATATGAGTCATATTATTCTAATAGCATTTCAAATGTTTATTCATAATGAATTTTACACTTATATTTGAATCTTCATTGATGCGTTAAGAAATATGCCAGTATTAATGTTCATCAGCCAAATGATTGTCCTCTCGTGTTACTGGCCTTCTATTTTCAAGCTAATTGCCTTGAATTATTTCCCGTGTGCATCATTTGTTTAATACTTGATTAATTATTCATTGTAGACCATTTTACTGGTTCAGAATGCATATATGATATTTCTTCCTCAACTTTCCACTTAGTAAGCGTTTCATCTGCATTCTATTTATCTCTTTCTATTTATTAAATACTTTTTAAATGATTTTACTTGTATTCCTAGTAGTGGTGGTGGCTTGGTTGAGTGATCTGAAGTTGTAGGTAATAAGTGGGGTCAATCTTTCAACTTTGGGTATCAAGTTACCACAAAGACAAATCCAGAATTGGAAGAAGAGAGCAAAGGAAAGAGAGTTGTGTTGAGATTATTGTATCTCCTTTTCTAGATATGAAGACAGTTTTTAGAGATTTGTCACGCTAACATGCGTGTGAAGCACTTGTAAGCTGAACATGCATATTCTCGGATAATAGCCCTGATCTCTGAGTAAGGAACACATTAAAATTAAGAAATATAAAACTTTTATACCTAAACGTAGTGAAAATATATTTTCAGACTGTCAGAAGTTTCTCAAAATATTCATAGATTCGTTACACTGTATGAGTATGCAAATTATTCTCTGAAATGATTAATGGAGAAACAATCAAAATTGTTTCAGAAATTAGAGCAAAGTTTGACAAACTTAACAACTTATTCCCAAATCGGTACCAAAACCAAAATATGAACTACAAAGAGTTATGCTACATATTGTTCTTTCTAGAAATACTATTGTTGACTTATATTTCTTCTTTGATGCTGAATCTTTACATTTAAAAAATAATATAATGTCAAAACCTAATGGTCTCCTGAACTTTTTCTGAAGTTTTCTAGTCCTAGTTTGATTATTCCTTAGCAGCTAAAAGTTTAATGTTGTGGCCAAATTCTTCTTCTATATATTCTCTAAAATTTCCAAGCGATGGAATTATGGAACACAGTTGCACATGTATGTGACATCTATGGTTATCTCTGTGACAGACCTCCAGTTCCTTCGTATGCAATTAATACTGAGATGCTCTAACTCTGATCGGCACAGGTTACTATCGAGTTGGATTGCATGATGCAATCAAATGGTGTTCAGGTCTTAATAATAATTGGTCTCTCTGTACCTTTCAGCTGTGTTTCATTGGACCAAATGGATTCTGCGGGACCAACATGATGCTCTTTCTAAGTCCTGATATGAGCACAGTGGATTCACAATTCACTTGGCACCTAACCTCTGGGATGTCGGAACGTTGAGGTAACATTCTTGTGCCTATTTTGAATTTTCTTGGATCGAATTATGGATCATTTTGCAGGAATTTTGGCTGATTTGGGATAACAAACTATTTTTATCGTCGGTAGTACAAAAGACTAATATTTTCGATATGATTCACATGACCTGATTTGTGTGGTTTTATCTTTCTCTGAAACATGGTGGTTCTTCAAGTGTTAAGTTTAGCCGAGTAAATACTTGGGTCAAACAAATGGTATTTTGATTCATTTGTTAGTGATTTAGCCTTCTATAACTAAATGTGAGACAGATTGTCTCAACTTTGGACCATGCCACATGACGACCCATGTTCATATTCATTGTGATCCATTTCTTTCATATTTGCATCAGTCATTGACATATATGATGGCACTAAAATTTCAAATCCTTCCAATCATTTAGATCCTGTAAGAATAATCTTATGACTGTGATTGTTGGGGAGATCCAATTAGCCAAGGAGGAAATTGATCGCATCATTGAAACCAATCTATCAGATGACCTGTGATTCTACTTTCTATCTAAGTTTGATTCATCATACAAGACAAATAGTTGTGTCGCATCCAATCAAGAACAGGCCTTCTTTAACCTTTTAATCTCAATAGTACGTATATAGATATATATGTTATATACCACAATATGAAATCACATTGGTGGGCAGTCAAATCATGTGAACCAAAAGAAGTGGTATGATGAGTGGGTTTGTGGTTACAAACTCAAATTTGCATCTTCGGACCAGAAAATATGTAATAGGTTGTCATGTCACGCAAGATATGCAAGTTCACATGGCCCTCCTCTCGATCACCATCACTGTGGCCAAGACGCACGGGGACCGTAGGGTGGAGGGGCTCCAGCCTGTGCAGCCACGGCTAGCTCATACTGCTGCATTGAGGAGGGGAGGGGCAGCAACTCGGGGGCTCTGTCCCAGTTCTTGTTGCCGCTCATGCTGCTGTTGAATCCATCACAACCTATGTGGGCCACATGTTGCACATCTGTTGGGAACCCAATCTCCATCTCCACCTCTTCATCCTCGTCCTTGTACAACACAACAACATGTTGGGACAAGCTCTTGAAGCTCTTGACTAGCTTCTGAATCCCTGCAGAGATGTTGGGCTTTGGAAAGGCAAGGACAGCAGATGAGTTCTTGACTTCTACAGTAGACTGCCGCCTGTCACCATCTCCACCTTCAAAAACAACAGTTATATGAAGACACGACCATCAGGATCATAGCATACCAACTAGGAAGAAGAAAAGAATGTTACTCGGTGTGTTTGGGGCTCCATCCCTCTGTGCTCTCTTGGGTTGGTTTTCGTAGACTGCAACACTAGACTCAGAGACACAGCCGACGGAGAAGGGAAGGAGGATGAACCTATCAATCCGCCGGTCTCTCATTGCCTCATAAATGAGAGAGAGAGAGAGAGAGAGAGGGTGGTTATGAGAATGAAGGGAATGAAGCTCAGGTGGATTTGTTATATTGGGTTTGGTGCAGAGGCTTTGTTGGCAAGCATGAATGATTTGAGATCGAGGAGTCACCCAAGTTTGGTGTGCATCATGGAGTGAGTTGAGTTGGTTCAGAGATACCTACAGCTAGAGTTACAATTTGTAGGGCCACCCAGCTTCCTTCGTGTGTTGGGAACCGTATCCGCCTCAGCCGCCTGTCATCCTGAGCAATTGCAGCTTTCACCTCCCTTGATGGCCAAGAACTTGCTTGCTGCTTTCCTTTCCTTCCCTGAACACCAAGTACCAACCACACCAAATCAAGGATTCTGACTGCAAGATTAAACAGCAGAAAACATATAAGAACAGGGTCAAGTTCTTTTCAGGTAGTCCAACATCTTTCGGGATCAATGTCAGCATCATGAGCAATTACTACTTTAATTAAGATTTTTGCTGTCAATAAAGTGCAGGACGTGTTGCATTGTGGTGATAAAAAATAGAAACTATCTTGTGACACCATATCCACAATCTAATGTAAGATTCCAGGGCCCAATAACATGGGTATCCAGACAAACTAATGACAGTTACCACCAAAAGCATTCTTGTCATTTGTAGACTCCAGTATCCCCCTCTTGCGGTCCTTTGAAGCACACTAGATCTTCCCAGATCTTAGCTTTGCTTTCAGGGACAACAGTTTTCCCTTTGGACCTCTATGGCATTTGACATATTCCTCAAGACAAGTGAAATACTAACTTACAACTTAAGCATGTGAGAATGGCTTCTTTGAGGGGTCTTTCCTTACAACTGGCATTTGAGTGTTCTGTTCTTTGGATACGAAAGCTAAGACCCAAAATCATACAGGAATTTGATGTAAATATGTACTGTCTTCTTTAGATCATTGACAATTTACTGTAAGCAGACCACAAAGATGGACTTATCTGCAAGTGAATGTGTTAATAGCTCAGGTAAGCAACTTTTATACTAGTATAATTGAGTAATAATCCTGCAAAACATGTGGATTGACATCTAGCATGTGTCCTACCATAATCGAAATAATTGTTGATGATGCATAATAAAACAGCAACAAAATTTTCACACTTTCATAGTCACCAAATATATGCAAATGCCAACTTAGCTAGAAAGTAATAAATCTAACTGCATGGCAAAACATTGAGCATTTTGCTTGATATTTCCATTATTTTTTTTTTTGTAGTTTCAGAAGTATTTATCTCAATGCTGGTTTTGGAGGCCATGCAAGTTGTTAGAATTGATAGGCGAAGTGAATGGGTGCTCCATCATTTTCAACTCCACTCACCAGTAATCCCCACATGAGCACTTCCCATTGCTAAAATGATGGAACCTATATGCATCTCTGAGGATTATTTCCCTGCATGTAGCCTGACTAATATATTTGATAGCTTCATGACAGTCTGCACAAACACGTAGATTTTTCATAACCCTAATAGGTATTCCTTTTGGAGTACTCATGATCCCATAAGCAACAGCAAGCTTCTCACTGTGAAAGTTCAGGATGGATTCTCTCTGTTCTTCCTCCACATCATGAAGAACCAAATCTGTTCTACTGGCATATCCCATTTCCTTCAGTCTCCCAATCAAGCTCTCCAAGTATGAGTATATCTCAGCTGCTTCAGGATGTGACTTGTCTCCTACAATAAATGTATGTACCTTGTTCCTTATCTGAATCCAAGATTGCCCCGGCCTTTTTCTCACACCTTTTTCGTGCATCATCCTCCTAAGTTTTGAGGCCTCCTCCCATTTCCTTCTGGAAGCATGCATATTAGATAGCAAAATGTAGTGGCCAGAGTCACAAGGTTCAAGTTGAACTAGTTGCTCAGAGATCCAAGACGCCATTTCCACATCATTATGAACTCGACAAGCTGATAACAGTGCTGTCCACACAACAGGATAATTGCTGATGCCTTTTTCATGTATGAAATCCTTTGCCCTGTTGAGTAAACCAGCTCGACCGAGGAGATCAACCATACATGTATAGTGCTCGACGCTCGGAGCTATGCCGTGATCCTCTTGCATTGATTTGAAGTATGCATGGCCTTTCCCAACCAGTCCGGCATGGGCACAAGCTGATAAAACATGCACAAAGCTTATCTCGTTTGGAACAATCTTCTCCTCTGACATCTGTTCGAACAGATGAAGAGCCTCTGCCGCCCGACCATGTGAAGCGTAAGAACCGATGATTGAAGTCCACAGTACAACGTTGGTGACACGGGAGTTGTCAAAAGCTTTTCGGGCGTCCTCCAAGCTGCCACACTTTGCATACATATCAGTGATTGCAGATGAGAGGAAAACATCATACACATGGCCTAGTTTTTCAACACAGCAGTGTACCTGCTTGCCTTGCTCTAGGATCCCGGCATCAGAACACGCTGCAGCGGCACTGGTTAGAGTGAACTGATCCACCTTCACCCCTTGCTGAAACATGTCGCGTAGCAGCTCCAGAGCTCCTTCGCCCATGCCATTTTGGACATACCCAGCAACCATGGCACTGAAGGAAATGCTTTCTGTCACTGTTCCATCTGTATGTTCTGATGAGCCACTGAAAACGAAGGACGAGGCGTGCATATCCCCACATTTAGAGTACATATCTATCAGTGAACTTCTGACGAACACATCGCCTACATGCCCAGTTCTTAGTATCTGACAGTGAAGCTGCTTCCCCAAATCCAGCATAGTTAATCTACTGGCTATCACCAAAGCCGTGGAAAAGGTAAACTGATTGAACCGAGGTCCCATATCCACCATTGTATGGAGAATTTGAAGGGCTATTGCATGAAGACCATGTTCCATTTGCCCACTAATGATCGTATTCCAACTTGATACGTCCTGATAGGGTGATGTCCTAAACAACTCCATCGATCCATCGATATCACCCTGACGCAGGTACGCGCCGATCATAATATTCCATGAGATCGCATCCTTCTCGTTCATCGTTCGGAAAAGATTCTTCGTGCATGCAAAGGCACCACATTTTGCATAGAAATCGAGGATTGAGTTGAGCAAGACAACGTCGAACTCAGTCCCGTTTCTTAGAACCCATCCATGGACGCTCTTGCCCGCTCCAGGATCACCACAACCCACGCAGCACTTCAGAACACAAGACAGGGTAAAGCGGTTCGGCAGAGGCCCCTCGGCGAGCATCGCGGCGAACATCTCTAGCCCCTCCCGATACTGCCCGGCCCGAGCGCGGCCAGAGATCAGAAGGGTCCACGCGAGCACATCTCTCTCGCGGATTTCGTCGAACAGCTTGCCCGCGAGGTCCACACAGCCGCACCTGCAATAGAGGCTGAGAAGGCCGGTGCGCACTCGGTCGTCCTGGCCGAGACCGGCCTTGACTGCAACCGAGTGGAGGAGGCCAGCGTCGAGGAGCGACTTAACGGATCTTGAGGAGGCCCTGAGAAAGCGGACGAAGGCTGAGGTAGCGTCTTCCGGAGGAGAAGGCTGCGGAGAAGACGGGAAGACAAGAGTCGGAAAGGATGCATTGCCTGTGAGCGAGAAGGGAAGTGGGGATGGAAGAGGGAGGATGGCGATGGGGCGGCGGAGGAGGCGCGGCGAATTCGAGAAGCCGGTCAGAGTCGCCGGGCCAGCAATCGTCCTTGGCAGCATGCGGAGTCTCAAGGAGTTGGAAGAAGCTAACCACGAACTCGTTATATACGTGTACATAATACAGTATACAAGATGTATATTATCTCTCTTATTTAACATATATATATATATATATATATTACAGGTTTTAAGATCCGGATTAAAAGATCCGACCCGTTAAACCAAACTCTTGCGTTATTTACTATCGATTACCCCAACGGGAGCGGTCTATAAATAACTCTCTCCGGCCGCTTCTTCCTCTTTCTTTTCCCCTTTGTGGTTTGATCAAGGGATGGAAACAAAGGAGCCGCAGCCTCCACGATCCCTCTCTTTTAAGTAACGAAGAAGAGAGAGAGCAAACCCTTCGTTTACTCCCCTCTGTAGATGAATCTGTGACCGATCCATATATGTACCTGACGTGAGACGAACGCGATTGGATCTTCTTGCACCCCCGCTGTTAATCCCTCATCGGAATCTTTCTCCGTCGAAAACCTCGAAATTTCAGTGGTTTTCCGGTCAAGATTGGTCCGTTTCTGCCCGTTCTTGGTTCCATCCTTCGCTTTCATGGACCTTCTTTGAATCCTGAGAAGTTCCCTCTTTTTCGGTTTCTTCTTTTCCGGATTTGGAGCTCGTCCTCTTTGCCTTGGTTGGCGATTGAGGATTTAGGTTTAGGGATAGGAGGGCAGGACTAGAGACGCCTTCTGTAGTGTTCTGGAGATTGGTTTTAGGGTTCCTGTGGCGTGGGTCTTTTCGGCTGCTGAACCGCTGGTGTTGCTTGTTGGGGGTCGCCTCCCTGTTGAGACAAAAAAAAAGGTCATGTTTTTATCTCGAATTGTGATGATTTAAAGGGCCTGGGTTTGGTCACGGGTTGAGACATGGAAGAGGACTGCGCTTTAAGATTCGGGTCGATTGTTTCACGCCGATTCCAGTAGATTGGTTCATCGATTTCTGCAGCGTGTCGTGTGTGTTTGGTGGCGGGCAATGCTGTTCTAGGATGGGGTGATCTTGATTCTTTTCGGTGTTTGTGATCTTTATCTTAATTCCTTTTTGGTACGAGTGTTGACGGAGTCTATTAGGTATAGATTGTTTTACATCCATTTCGTAGAATTTTCTGGTTTCCTTGAGTGATTGGTGGTGGTAGTTTGTGTTCAGAGCAATGAAGTGGTTCTGAATCTGGAAATGTGTGTGAGGACATGGTGCAGAGGCAGGAGTATTGGTGGTGGTCCGTTCCCATACTGGAACAGTTGTTCTGGATGCTAGTATTTCTAGTCAACCAACACTCACCGTGCAATGTCTCGCTGCTTCCCCTATCCTCCACCAGGATTTGAAAAGAAGACGAGCAACCACGTAGGCTTACTAGCTGAGGTGCCTCTCTTGTAAGCTCATATGAAGATGCTCGCTTTCATTCACTCAATTCTGTTGGATTTATAGTTTTGTGCACCTTGCATTCGGTAGTTGCTAAATTAGATTAGGAAATATTTTGAGTATTGTTGTGGTAAAACCCGTTCTTTTGTG